GATTGTTATCGCGACAAACATAAGCAACTAAAGTTTTGTCATTCATTTTTAAATATGCATCAGGTAACAAATTATAAGAGAGAATGAGTTATTATCTATGTTGAATGATAGTATTTTAACATATTTTTTTATTTATGTATGTTACAATTTAATTTTTAATTTTTAAATTTTAATAGCAAGGTGTGAGGGTCATAAATTTAATTTATAAAATATGTCATTTATGTTTTTAATATAGACAAAATGACAAGTTATAAAGTAAAATAAGTTGTTGATGAGGTGAAAAATTCAGCAATAAAAAATTGTGTGAGTGGGAAAATTATTTTTGGAAGGGCTACTTTAAATTGTGCCAAACAATACTTAAATTTAAAAATTGTTATTACATTTTTCATATGCACCGAGATAAAAAATCTTTAAATAAAATAAGTGGTTATTTATATTTACAAGTAATAACTTTTTAACTAAAATATGCTGTTTGAATCTTAATTTATGTGGGGATCAAATATAACAAATATTTATATTTTTTGTACCCACATGATATCATAAATGAAACAAATTGTTATCTATTTTTTATTGCTTGTAAATATTTTTATATTGGAGGTAATTATATTTGAGGTATAGTTGGACATTAAATATGTGCTCTTCTTTCAATAGGAATTAATTTTTATCCCCCTATTATTTTCTATATGCTTTCTAGCCAATGCTAAAACAAAATAAGGTGTTGATACAATTCAAAAAAAAAAAATTCTAAAACAAGATATACTCCCCCCATTACGTTAATAAATATAAGGTATTTTTAATCGAATCTTACCTCAAAAAAGTAATTACTTGTCTTTAAATTAACTTTATATTTTCATATTTATCCCCATTTAATAGGATATTTTATCTTAAAATAACTATGAATTTATTTATTCAAGGGAGGCACCTTTAAAAAAAGACAATAATTATACATTCAAAGACTAAAAATGCTCTACATTTTTAACATACAACTTTTTAAAAAATACCTTATATTTTATAATGTAGAGAGTATGTTTTAGAATTGTAATTTATATGGACACAACAACTCATAGATTAAAATGAATTGTTATCTATATTTGATTATATATGAGATAACAAAATTTATGATAAAACAAGTTATTGTTTATTTCTATTTTCTAATCACAAATATGTTAGGTGTGAATAAAATGTTATAGTTATTTTCATTATTATAATGATTTATCTATAACTACATATACAAATTTATTTCACCCTTTCTATAAACTATTACTTTTATAAAGTTATCAAATTAATACTTACTCGTAATTTAACTTTTATTAATTTTTATGATTTGTCCGGATCAAAAAAAAAGATAGGGTAGTGACATTTTAAATTTTAGTGACTTTAATTTTAGAAAAAAAGAGAATCGTGGCTAGAAAGTTTTTAATTGATTCTTTATTTTTTTTTTCCTTTCACACTTCTCAAGTAAAATTTTATAACATATTTGTAAAAAAGAAAAATTTAAAAAAACTCAACTCATTAAAATATTTTCCTCCTTTTTTTTTATCCAATTTGAACGAAAAATGAGGATTAATATTCTGTGCATTGCACGAGGCATAAAAGCATAAAATATAGTTATTTAATATTTTAATATATATTTTTTATAATTATAACACAAAAAACCATAATTATGTATGCCCTCGAGGATATAATTTATAATTCATCATGTAGATTATAAAAAACTCTTTTTATCTCATTTTATAAGACATTTTGAGAGAGATTCACCATCTCAAAATATAAAATACTTTGACAAAAAATAAAATTTTTTAATGAAGTTTTTTTTAAATTATCTTTCATAATCTATTCTTTCAGCCATGAAGTCAGAAATTTTTATTAGGAGTTGAGATGATAAAACATATATAATAACCAAAAGCAAATTAGAAATAAGATTAAATTAAGGAGAAAGCCTAATAATCCTCGCTTTCTAACTTTCTTTCACAAATGGTAAGGACATTTTTTGTAAGTTTGTATTTTTATTTTGAAAAAAATAAGATTATAAAGTGTATCTAATAAATTTTATTTGTATATAAAATTTTGTTTAAAAATATTTTATAAATTGAGATGAAAGGAGTATTTGGTAAAATTACAAATCAATCTTTTGTCCTATTATTTTAATTTCTTTATATGGTCACTATAGCCATAACATGGTTATATAGTAAAATTACAAATTTATCTTTTACCCTATTATTTTACATTTCTTTCTCGTTTCCTATTCATTTTGTTGAAGCTAGATTATAACTTAACGTGGATATGTGGTTATCAATAAAATTACATTTTCATCTTTTGGATTAAAAAATGATCAAAAATGATAAAAATTTTTTATTGAAAAAGTCATTTTTGTTTGCCTCTCCCACTCAAAACTATCCATCTTTTCCCCTCATTTAACTGTTTGCCAAATTTATTGTCCAAAATTATAGGGATTGAATTGCATCAAATTTAGGTTTATAAACTAAATTATAATTAAGTTAAAACTATAAAAATTAGATTATTATTTTTTCAATAAAACAAGATGTTTGTATTTTTATTATCTTCTGGATTAAAAAATGATAAAAAAAATAACAACTTATTAAAATTCATGCATCTGCGGCATGGGCAGCAAATCTTATCAGTGACTTTAAAAAAAAAAAAAAGCAACATTTTTTATTTTTTAAAACGACTTTTTCTAATGACTTATGAATAATCAAAGCCACACAATCTCTTGAACAGTTACATGGCAAAAGTTTTTGGCTTAAAATTCGTAAGCCATGAATTTGGAATTTTAAAGTTCAATGAAAGTAAAAGTATATCCATGTTTTGGCTCCATCAGCCACAAAGTTTTACACAGAAGGAGAAATTATGAATTCTAATATTTACGGCAAAGTTCAACATATTATAAGCTTTTCAAATCAGAACAATCTATATTAATTTATGTTTAAGATTTTTTATAATTTTATAAATTGATTGTTTGACAATCCAGTTTTAGTATTAATTTTTTAAAATTTTTATAAATTTTATTTTGATAACTATAATTTTAAAAATATTTAAAATTAATTTAAAATGAATGGTATGGATCATTTCGAAGTAAAAGATCAGCCCATTAGCTGATGAGCATTGAATGGAGACTCTGGAATTTTTAAAGACAAAACAAAACAAAAAAAAAAAAACAAAGAAAGGTGAATTTCTCCTTAGAAATTTTCTAGTTTCTTTTTTTGGCAAAAAATTTTTCTAATTGTTTTAAACTTTCAATTTCAACAAGGCTGAAGGTCAAAAAAATAAAATAAAAAAATCAACAAGGTTGGATCCGCGTGATAACATTAAAAAAAAGATAAAAATATAAAAGTTTGCCACAGTTAATTAATGTTTGGGCTAAATATGAAACATCACTTGCCAAAGTATTTGAATGGGCCATAAAATCATATGGGCTAAATAACTGAAGAATTAAGCCCAATTAACAATCTAAACAAAGGGGCCAGTCTCGAGCTCAATGTGAAGTCATGGTTAGATAGGCATGTTGAAATCTTTCCAATTGCAAACACACTATGTGGATTATTGGTGTATAAAGACACGATCTCAAATCTTGTGGGAATAGCATCATTGTGACCAAGTATCTCAACAAAACGGACTGGTTATCAAAAATGAAAAACAGTGATTAGAGACCGTATCATGAGTTTTGTAAAATCCCTGATTGTTAGTAAAAACATTCCAAACCTTAAGGAAGAAGTTACCATTACTTTGTCACTATAAATAGAATACCAAATCATGAAAGAGGACACAGAAAGCACTCAAAAGACTCGTATTTTGCACCCATGGTTCTTAGATTTATCAATTATTTTTATCTTCAATCCAAACTTATAATCATTTACATTTCGTAACATTTTAGTAATAATCAAACACTAGTTCTATCAAGTATTCTATATCTTTTACATTTGAGTAAATTGTGGTAAAAGAGCCCAAGGACTCTTTTATTGTCAATTAAAACTCAATACCTCTGACATGCTTGGTAATTTGTTATTCCTCATGAATAATTAATTAATTTATTTTTTATACGTCCAATTTAGACCATACTTACAATTTACCCCTTTTACTGTTTAATCATCTCAAAATGCAAAATACAAAATATTTAACAATAACAATTATATGCACTTATGTTAAGTAGGCAGACACTTATATATATTCAGCCATCAGTATCATTTTCCTAAAAACATTTAACATGATTATAATTGATTTTTTTTTTAAATGATACTCTCATGAGTCTTGACATTTTCTTTTTTTTTTTTTCCATAACACATGAAGTAGGCTATGCCGTTAATAGATATTATCTACTCCAAGATACTAAAGATAAAAAATAGACATTTTCTTACTAAGTAACTACATAAACAAAGGTTAACATTTAAATTCCTGAGTTTAAATAACGAAAGCTTTTACTATTCATGCTAATTTTAATTTTAATTTTAGGTAACATGCTCAAATTTATCACTATCTTCATTTTTGGCCAGAATATCACTATCTTTATTTACACATTAGGCCAAATATAATAAATAATATAATAAATAACAATACCAACCAGCCAAAATAATCCCCATATTTCTTTTCTGATCGCTAATTCGCTATTTCCACGTGAGAGTTTAATATTTCAAGATTCCACGTCAGGTTACCAACTTTTCAATGCATTTGATTAGTCAATTGGGATCAGACATCAGAGTAAAGACAAAACAATGAAAAAAAAAAAGAATTCTTTGAACACAGTACAATAATATCTTCAAATCAAGCGTAGGAAACGGGGATAACTTAAATATTAATGTTTGATTGTTAATTTAATTCACGGCAGAAAGCTAGACAGCAACAATTAATCATATTTTTCACAAGAGAAGCAGCACAGCTGTTGCCTGGAAAGCGCCATTTAAGCTTAAGAAAAGTAGGAAGTCAAATCTTTGTGATGTCTTCAGAGGCACATTTAACGTAAGATTTTTTTTAGAAAAATTGCAAATATTGGATTGGAACGTAGCCGGGTCACCTTTGCTTGCTTTCTTGTCAAAAAGCGAGGTCCCTCTTGTTGCCAAGCCTTGTCCTTCTATTTCCGCATCTTTCTTTTCATTCAGATCTAAAATCCCATTCCATAGTATGCCACAGTAGTCCAAGAACACCATCTCTGGATACTGCAAGACTGTGGGCATATACCGAGAGCAAAGCCGATATGGGGTTCCAAGAAAATGGGAACGGCGAAATGGTGTTGTCTGGAATCCCGCTGGGAGCAAAGAACAAATACAAGAGGATGCACCCCGAGCTTCCTGAGGACTCCGATGATGTTTTGCACCAACAATATCAACAAGATAGGAGGAATAGTACCAGGAAATATGTTTTTGCCTGTGCTGTCTTTGCTTCCCTCAACAATGTCCTTCTGGGCTATGGTAATGCTATGCTATCATTTTCCGATCCTTTAAAAAAAAAAAATTGCTTCGATTTGGGTGTTGCTATTGCCCCATTTATCATGTAGTTCGGCATTTCATCTTGTCAATGCTTTTTGTCAAGCCTTCTGTTCACCATCATGTCTTTGTTATCATGTTATGTAGCCTATCGAGACCAATTCGGTTATATTTTATGAACAATCTATAGAAACATCGCCATAGCCAAAACAATTCGTGGGAAAGAGGTACCCTTCTTCTGATTCATCTGCGAATTTTAATGTCCAAGATAGCAGAGATTAAAAGTGTGAAAGAGGTTTTCAACCCAACGTTTCCAGGCTTTGACTTTCTCCTACTTCTGCTTAATAGTTTGTGAAATTGTTAAAAATATCATTTTAATTTCAATCTCTATTTCTGATCCTGGTCTGTAGTCATATACGTAATATATTGATAGAGTTTATTTTCCTTTTCTTTTTCTTTTTTGGATCTGCAGATGTAGGTGTCATGAGTGGAGCAATTATATTTATCAAAGAAGATCTGAAGATATCTGAGGTGAAAGTAGAATTTCTGGTCGGTATTCTGAGCATTGTTTCTCTTCTGGGTAGTCTAGGTGGTGGAAGAACATCCGATATTATTGGTAGAAAATGGACGATGGCCTTAGCTGCTATTGTCTTTCAAACTGGCGCACTTATTATGACTCTCGCTCCTTCCTTTCCAATTCTTATGGTAGGAAGACTTTTTGCCGGAATTGGAATAGGTTTTGGAGTCATGATATCGCCAATATATATTGCTGAGATATCACCAAACGTCACAAGAGGCACTATGACTAGCTTCCCTGAGATTTTTATAAACATTGGAATTTTGCTTGGCTATGTGTCAAATTATACGTTTGCTGGCTTTTCACCACACATAAATTGGAGGATAATGCTTGCTGTGGGAATACTTCCCTCAGTCTTCATTGGCTTTGCTCTTTTTGTCATCCCTGAGTCACCAAGGTGGTTGGTGATGAAGAACCGAATTGAAGAAGCCAGAGAAGTGCTGTTGAATACAAATGAAGATGAGAAAGAAGTGGAGGAGAGACTTGCAGAAATACAGCAGGCTGCTGAATTTGCTAATTCTGATAAGGAGAAACCTGTGTGGCGTGAACTACTATCTCCCTCTCCTCCCCTTCGTCGGATGCTCATGACCGGGTTTGGGATTCAGTGTTTTCAACAAATATCAGGAATAGATGCAACTGTGTACTACAGTCCTGAAATCTTCAAAGCAGCTGGGATTGAGGATAATTCAAAACTCCTAGCAGCTACTGTTGCTGTAGGTATAACAAAGACCATTTTTATATTGGTAGCCATCATTCTTATTGACAAACTTGGAAGGAAGCCCTTGCTCTATATTAGCACAATTGGGATGACAGTATGCTTGTTCATCATAGGTGCAAGTTTTTCTTTCTTCGGACAAGGTTCATTTGTGGTTGTGATGGCAATTCTTTTTGTCTGTGGGAATGTAGCTTTCTTTTCTATTGGATTAGGACCTGTTTGCTGGGTCGTGTCATCTGAGATCTTCCCTCTAAGAGTACGTGCTCAAGCATCAGCACTTGGTGCTGTGGGTAATAGGGTCTGCAGTGGCATTGTAGCCATGTCTTTCCTGTCTATTGCTGATGCAATTACTTTTGGCGGAACATTCTTTCTGTTTGCTGCTATTTCTGTTCTTTCTGTTGTCTTTGTCCACAAACTGGTCCCTGAGACAAAAGGAAAGTCATTGGAGCAAATAGAGTTGCTATTTCAGAAGGAATATGAGGGGCAACGGAGTGAAATGGAGCTAGGAGATGTTGAACAGCTCGTGCAGAACAAAACTGGTTCAACAAATTAACAATTTTTTTTGCTGCAATTATATTTTCCACATGACATGGCCCTGTGATTGGCTTGAAAGAAGATGTGATATCGTTGCATGTTATATATCTTAGCAACTTACATGTGCAATTCCTCGGAGAACTTTGCTGGATGGATGATCATCTGCAGACTAGTATATTGAGTTCATAAAGGATAAAAGGGAACAAGAAAAATGAGCAACAAATTGCTATCTTTATACATACTCAAACCTTTCCTAGTTGCAAAGTTACTTTAATTTCTTTAATTTACATTTATACTGTAATCGCTGTATATGTATCTGGCTTTAGGCAGATATGTGAGATGTTCTGTGACAGATTATAGCAAAATAATTTGTACGTACTACATTAAAGGATGAACTGAATATTGAAATTCTTTGTAAGATTAGTACTGATATATCAGCTTCTGCTCCACATTTTTGCTTTGGATCTGCATTTGTGATCAGTTTAAAAATTCAAAGCATATATCTGTCTTACACCTTGGTTTATGCTAACCTTAGTCTGGATCTGCTGCATCAGTTTTTAATGTACTTTCTGTTTTGTATCACTCTGAATGACCATTCTGAGACATCAAAGTAAGTCTCTATAAATTTACAGCCTGAATTACACATTGCTTATTTACAATCATAACCTGAATTTGGCATGCCTGCTAACTTCTGAAGTCATACTGTATTATTTCATCAACACTGTTAACTAAAAGTAAGCAACATCTCTGATAAGAGGTCCAGTTGCAACATGAGTTATTAATATTTTAAGTTGTATTCTGGTTTTCCTCAGTCAGACAAACGAACTTCAAGAATTTCTGATTCTGATGCAGATGGAAGCACATTGCGTAACTTCTCTATTTTTTCTTAAATGAGAAATCTAGTTCTGCTTCAGAAAACTCATGGTAATGAGCATTATCATGCTCTTCTAAATTAAACCCGTTTTTCAGGTGTATGATGTATTGGTCTGAGGCTCGACGCCGAAGTTGTTGGCCGGACAAGAGAGAGACAAAAACAAGTCAATGGCTTCAACTGCAAAATCATCTGAGGCAGGGTCGTACTTTGTTCCTAATATTATTGTGTCGTATAAATGGTGTTTTATCTGTATCTTAATCTTCCAGCTGTTCTGGTTAACATTCTGATTCTTATGTCATTCCAAAATACACTCTGTAGTGCTATTCAAGTGTGTTAATATATATAAATTGCTTTAGCAGTCAACCTAGCGATGAACAGAAGCAACGTGGTGTGAATGAATTGCAACACCAGTATTATGCTCAAGCCTCTCTTTCAAAGGTAAGGGCAATGTCAACAATCATGAGGCTTCGCATCACTCGTGGTTGGTCATTGGCGGCTCAGAATCGTTGATGATTATAGATCTACTGTTTCTTTTATCAACAATACTACAATTGAAAACTGGTTAAATAATTTAAACTATCTAAAATGAAAATAAATAATTTAAAAATAATAAAATGTTTACTTTTGGACACTACCATATTATATAAATAGAGCAGCACAGTCCATAAAAATGGCGGGTGGTATGTTTGCTTTTCAACTCTGCCTATGAAATATTTCAGGTGAATTTGACAGATCCACCAACTGTTGAGCAAACATGTCAACATTCCTTCATCTTTTTTGGTTCGAGACATCGTTACTTCATCTTAAAGGAAGGCATTTCTGTAGTTTCATTTTTATTGGAGAACTCGAACAAAATTTCTATGTTCATGGACCACGGATGTTGGATGAGTTATGAGTACCGTCTGTACATTGCTTCACGAGAAAGATAAATATGGCGATTGGTATCTTTCACATCCCAAGTTCACAAATTGAGTCTGTGAGCTGGTGGTGTAGCGGCCAAGATACAGTTAGACAAGAAATGTGCAGAGTGAATACGAGCTTAATATATAAAATATAGTTGAGGGGTAAATTTGTTCGGAGTCATAAGAATAAATAATATAGAAAACCAGTAAGATTTGATGTGGCTAATTATATTTTCTCGATACTATTCTTAGAGTATAAACGACGCAGAATGATGTGGGTATGATCAACGAACAAAGCCTCGTGGCGGTCTCTTACGATGCATGTATATAACCGCGTTTGAATATTCAAGTCTCTCCCACCCTCATCGTCGTTCGTCAAATGCTGAGAGTTTCGATCCGAACTCGACGTTATCAGTTTCCAGAAAATCCTCACTCTCTCTCCCCACACATCTATAGGCCACTCAGAAAGAGAGATTTGGATTTCAGAAATGGCGTCCTTCGACTCGTTCGGTAACGACGGAGACGATCACCCACATCAGTCGCCGCCAGTGCAACCCTTTGACGATGATGGTTATTCGGGCTTCGACCCGGGCCTCTCGTCTCAGCCTTACGAATCCACGTATGCTGCTTCTGACGTTTTCAGCGAACCCCCACCTGCGAGCGATTTTGGCCCCTCCGCCGACCTCCACCGCCACCTCAGCATGGACGACGTCAACTATGGTGAGAACGTACACTCTGCAAATGAAGGCGGGTTTGGGATTTCGACGCCCAACCCTGATTATGCGTCGCCATTTGAACCGTCCGGGCTTGAGACGAATGGTCCGGGAAATGTGTATGAAAATGGCAGCGATAAAATCTTCACTTCCGATGGCCCTTTACTCCCGGACCCGGGCCAAATGCAGGAGGAAGGTTTTGCAAGACGCGAATGGCGACGGTGGGATTTCATGGATCTCATCATTGATCGTATTTACTTTCTTTTATCTCTTTCAATTCTTGTTATGCTGGATAATGAACAGGTTTTCAAAAGCTCACGGAATACGGAAGATTTCATATTGCTTCTGTGTTTTCTTTTAGTCACAAAGAAAGCCACAAAGGAAAATCGTTTTATCACATACCGTTGTCATTCTCATTCATGTTGGATTTACGTTAATAAAGGTTTTTTAAGCGAGATCTGTTATAATTTGCTTCCCCTTTAACAGGCATCTTATAGGTTGATAAACAGAACCTAACCTGTAGTTTTGTAATCCGGGTCAGATGTAAATGTCATAATGGGTTGAATGGGGTTGAATTGAAAGGCGTTAACATAAATGATGGGCTGTTCTCTTGAAAAAAAAAAAATTATAATAACGTTTGGGCTGTTCTGTGGGTTGTAAACCAGGAGCTCTGCGCCCAGGATAGTGTCTTTGGGTTCTGGGACAAGGCAGTTTACGTTTAGAAGAATATTTTGAAGATTTAGTGATATTGTTTGTAGCATAGTTCTTGCTTTCAGTAGGTGGCCCCTTGTGCTGTAGGAAAGTAGTTGTTTAAGTGCTAATATTTGACTGTGAGGAGTTTCGGAATGCTGGCTAGAACTTGATCTCTATGGTAATGAATATAGGATAATTGTCATACGCTCCTTTTCTCTTCACATTTTATCTTACGTCAAGGGATTGGCTTTTCTGACTGTACAATGCAGTGAAAATGCATTATATCTTGACGAAAAGGAGAAGAGAGAAAAAGAAATGCGGAATCAGATTATTAAAGAAGCTGATGAATATAAGCAATCTTTCCATGAGAAAAGGAGACTCAATTGCGAGACAAACAAAGCCAACAACAGGGAAAGAGAGAAGGTAGAATTAGTGAAGTTGATTCTTAATTCCTGCATCTTCACTAGTTGCCTTTGTTTTTTCCATTTCTTCTACTCCACAGCATTAGTTCATTGCGCCTTGCCTTGCTCTTGTGCAAAATAACGACAATGAGTATGTGTGCAGTTATACTTGGCCAACCAAGAGAAATTTCACAAAGAAGCTCACAAACATTACTGGAAAGCGATAGCAGAAATCATTCCTCGTGAGGTCCCCAATATTGAGAAGAGAAGATGTAAAAAAGAATCTGAGAGTAATAAGCCTTCGGTTGTTGTGATTCAGGGACCAAAGCCTGGCAAACCTACTGATCTTTCAAGAATGCGCCAAATGATTTCCAAACTTAAACAGAACCCTCCTCCTCACATGATGCCTCCCCCACCCAAAGAGGGCAAGGATGGTAAAGATGCAAAAGATTCTAAAGAAGGCAGAGACGCTAAAGCTGTCAAAGATCGAAATGATAAAAAAGAAACAAAGGAAGGTAAAAGCTCAACTCCAACTGCATCTGAGGCTGCTGTAGAAAATAAACCTGCTTCTCCTGCAAAAAATGGGTCTGCAAATGGTGCACCTAATGTGCTTAAAGAAGATGTTCCTGCTGTACTTGAGGGCGACCAAATCATCATTGGTTCTGAACCGGAAGGGGCTCAGTGATGAACAACTCGATTTTTGTTAGTAATTCCTTTTTTACACACACATATATATACAAATTTTTTTTTATTCGCTAAATTCTGTGCTAATGTTAATTGAGAATAAGCACATAGCCATTTGCATATTCTTCAAGCTTTGCAGCATTGCATGTAAAGAGCATAATTCCAATCTATGGTCGGAGATTCATAGGCTTTAGATGCAATTTTGTTTTTTCTGTCTTCTTTCTTTGACATTTATAAGCAAAGTAATCTTTTTCTTCACTTTCCCTTGTTTGCGTATAGCATCCCCCTTCCTTTAGCTAGAAGGTCCTTGAATCAAATGCTTTTGTTATTTGACAAGGTTTTGTGTCTTAATTGTTTGCATAACAAAACATAAAAAATATATAAAAGGTTAAAACCAATTACTAGAATCACATTTAAGATTTTTCTATTGAAAGTATGGGTTCGAACAATTCCACGGTTATATAATGTCTATTATATACTTGCAGATTTAGTTCAAATGTTAGAAAGAGTATCCGATGGACAAACAGGCAATCCTAAATTAAGACTTCATAACAAACTAGTTATGTATGGAAAAACCATTTGGTGTAGATTATAGGTGATCGCTGAATTTGTTTACTCATCAGGCTTCTTTCTTCCCTCTTCAGGATTTTTTTGGCATTTTCTTAGGATATATTCAGTATCAGGGTGGTTCTTAATTTTTAGCACAAGTCTGTGAAAAGAATTTAAGCAGAAAGTGCCATGTGGTTCAACTGATGGAGTTTCTTTTCCTGAAACTACACACTTACTACTAAACTCTGCCTTAATCATGAAGGAGGAGGGTCTAAGGATGTAAACTATAGAAAGTGGACATGATAAGAAAAACTAATCAGCTCAAGTAATGTAAACTATAGAAAGTGGACAAGTTAAGAAAAATTAATCAGCTCAAGCAACAAAAATGGATTCCGAGAAGGTTAAGCAAAAGAGATCAACTTTTGTTCGGAAGGTATACCCCTTTTCACAACCCCCCCCCCAAAAAAAAAAAAAAAACCACTGGAGCTGAATCCGTGTTTCATAAAATTATAGAAATGCTTGGTGAATCTGAGTTTGGATTTCTTACTCATAAGAAAACATACGAGTAAGCTTGTTTTTCTGTTTACTGATTCAAGAGTCATACTTGACTTTCCATCTTAGGAATCAGACTCCTGAATTTTCTATTGCTGAAACTGCTTTCCTTCAAATGTCTGTCCAAATTGCCAGTTTGCTGGAGCAACGTTGTAAGATGTGAGTGTTCTTCCACCAATGATTGTAACCTCAAAGGACAGAGGCTGTCGTTGAAGATTGACATTGCAATGCCAGTTTTGTCCCCAATTCCTGGCCATTGGTATCCACCCTGTTCTTGATCCTTTCACCTTTACAGCAACCACTTCACCATCCAACCCTACATTGGTAATCAGGACTTGGTAGAAATGAGAACTACCTGTCATTGTAAATTTTAGGCCACCACTTCTTTGACACTTCACTCTGCACACAACATTGACAGAACAAGTCATCCCTCAAACCCAGCAGGTTTCTCAAACAATAAGAAAATTATTGTCAGCAATCTTCCTTACTGAATCGCTTTTCTTTTTGGGTTTACCTTCTATACTGAATCGGCACTATGTCAGCTTTTCTCTTGGCAATCTCAGCAAATGCTGCTTCTGACATCTCAAAATGCTCCTTTGGAAAATTGCACCAGCCACCATAATCTGCTGAAAGTCCATAGTTTGGAGGGCAGAAATCTGTGGCCGTAAGAATTACAGATGGGCTTCCTATCAAGCACCACAAGATGTGGTCTACACATCTGATCTCATAGCAAGCTCCACAGGTACTCCCTCTGTTGAACAAGATGGTGCTCAACCCAGCACTATATCTCCCATAGCTAGCCTTGTGAAGGTCTCCATACCCACAGGCTCCTTCTGCAATCCAAGCACTAGTACATTTTCAAAACAGGGTTTTGATTTTACAGATGATAAGACTAGAAAGAGCAAGAAAACTTGGAAGAACCTGTAATGAGCGACCCATCTTTGTCTTTGGAGTATGTTGCAGTAGCAGACTTCCATTCTCCGTCCTTATTAGCTGAAATCTTCCATGAATGTAGCAAAATCAAGTAGAATAGTGTAGATTGAAGAGTACCCATCTGAGACAGTAGGACTATGAATCTGATTATCACTTTAAAATGGAAATCCTCAAACTCTAATTGTGTTCTGCTTTTGTTTCATGTGGGGCCGAAAGTGGACCAAACAGTGAAGAAAAGCGTGTTTTTTCCCGGCTGCAAATTATGTTGATCTTGATAAAGATAGAAGCTTTGACATTTTTCATCTGTGAAGAGATTAGATTCAACCGTGGGACATTCTGCGAGGCCGAGATGTAAGGCCATTTGTTGCTTATTCCGAGGCCGCTAGCTCCCTCGTTGTCTTTCGTACTTTTTCTTCGTTCTCACTACTTTTCAGGCGGGGAATTTTGTTGGGAGAGTTACTGTCATTAACACAACATTCTCAAATATCTTACAAGTTTTTGCATAATATGGGCAAATTGACCATAACACTATACTAAAATATATATATATATATATATATTTAAAATGTTACAAGTTCAAAAACATTTTTCATTATATTACAAATGAGAAATTGACTTAAATCAAAATAAATTTTAAAATTTATTTTTCTTGACACTTTGTATTAAAATCAGTTTATCTCTGGCCGCTTTCAATATAACCATGTAAAATGAAATAAAAAATTGTTTAAGAGCTTTGTTGTTGTCTTCTTCTTCTTCTTCTTTTTTGGCACAAAACACTTGGTATTCTAAATCTGTCTCACTCACCCTTCAAGACTTCCCATCGCACATTTTGCACTATCAAATGAAAGTAATATTTAACATTTTCAAAATATATTCAAAACCTATAATTATTAAAACATAAATACTTCAATTAATTAGGAGTGCAAAATGAGTGACCTAAAAGTCAAGAAGAGGGTTCATGAAAACTAAGTGAAAGTTGAGGTGAAAGTTAATTCCATATTAATAAAAAAAAAATTAGGTATTTGGATCAAGCCAATTCGGGTTTGCTCTTATTTAGGTGATCCAAATAAACCAGAAGTTAAAAAAAAAAAATCTAAACTCTCAATTTCAAGATTTTTCAAGCTAATTCAGGTTAGCTTGAATTACCATCTATAGTTCATAATACTTGATGCTCTCCAGCAAAAAAAAAAAAAACAAGATGACAAAGTTCTTGAACAATTTTTTTTTTTTTACATGGTTGTATTGAAATAGATTTGACAAAAATCAAATTTAGTACAAAGTGTCGGGAAAAAAAATTTTAAAACTTGATTTGATAGAAATTAAGTTTTCATTTGTAATATAATAGAAAATATTTTTGAACTTGTAACATTTGAAAAAAAATTTTGTATACTACCATCGTCAATTTACCTATAATACGAGCGTAAAAATATCAAATTAATAACTCAATATATTGGCGACTAGCAATAATTATCAACTTGATATATATAAGTTGTTAGTAGACAATGTGTGAGATCCAAGAATGTGTATGTGTGTATATATATATATATATATATTTAAAAAAATTATTTTCAATATCTATATTTTGCTCGAGTTTTTATATATATTTTTGTATTTTTTTATGTTTTAAGTCTCTACACTTTCCTCCATCAATAACGTTAGTTCCTACATTTTTAAGACATTGATGTGATACAAATAATATTAATAATGCTGACATATTAATTAACACCATTAATTTTGTATTTACATGTCAAACTAATGTTGATATGAAATTTTTAATAAGCAATTTTTTATAAAACAAGTCTCAATGGAATTTGACCGTTTTGCTAATCATTTAAAAAGTTTGGGTTAGCCTTTTTATTTCATTTAATATAACTTTTTTTAATTTTTTTATTAAATAATTTTATGTTAGTATTATTTTGACACGTAAATATAAAATTAATAATATTAATTGATATATCAGTATGATTAACAATATTTATATCACGTCAATGTCTTTTTAAAAATATAAAGACTAATTTTATAGATGGAAGAAAGTGTAGAAATAAAAAAAATTAAAAATAAAGTGTATAGACATTTATCTAGACAAAAACAAATTGCAAGGATCAAGGGAATTATTCTACCAATATTTTTAACCGACCAAAGGGAGGGTTAGGACTTAGGAGCATGGAATTGTTTGGATGTATTCGAGGGGGAAGGGTTTGCGGCTTCGTCCTTGTGGCGGACACAGAAAGCGGAAAGCTGCACTTTATTAATCATTTTGTTTCACAGGACATGCGGGGTTTTGAGGACTAGGCTTCTTTGTTAGTGTGCTTTTTTTTTTTTGGATTTCTTGGCACTTAAGATTACTAATCAGCATGTTGGTTTAGCTTTTCCAGAATCATAAAATTCTAATCTCTATTTGTTTATGTAATCAAGCCCAGTTATTGAACGTAGAAGCAAGCATATAAACAGAAATTTTGGATGCAACGCAGGACATGAAGGGCGGCACTTTCATATCCGTTTTAGTATAACGAAACAGGGAAAAAATAAAGGAAAATAGCAGCCAAAAATCTCAATACCAAATTAATATTCCCACCGTTTAATAATTAAGATATTTTTTAAAGAGTTAAATGTTTAAAATTATAAGATATTTTTAATTTTTTGATGTGTAATCATTATTTCTTTTTTCAAAAGTATCTCTATTGATAAAGACTTTATATTTATTATAAGAGATTTAATAGAGATAAATATGAAAAGATAAGGTTAGTTTGAAAGTAGGTAATTATTTTATTGGGAGGTGAGATTCGGTTAAAAATACTTTATATTTTTTGAATGAAGGGAGTATTAGTTAAGGATCAATTGACTTTAAGATCATGCTACAATCCCTTAGTCTTTAACTAATATTAATTTATTAGGTCAAAAGATTAAATTGCTCTTAAAGTAATAAAAAAAAACCCTCCCCCACTATCGCCAAAGCCCCTACCACCGGCAAAGTTACCTACAGTTGATCGTTGGAGAATAATTAGTTTAGGTGGCTAAAGGATAATTTGATCTCATGATCCCTTGCCTACCTAAAAAGTCCTTTAATTATATATGGCAATATATATATATATATATATATAAGTAGCAAATCAAACTTATAGCCACTTCCATGTTATCACATAACGGCGTGTTATTAATTCTTGCACGACACTTATTATTTTATTAATATTATTTATTAATCTGATATGAATAATTATAAATTAGGAACTTTAAAACTTCATATATTTTATTTGTTAGAAATTTGAATGTATTATTGTTAATTACAAATAACTTGCTGTCAAAGTCCAGAAGAATACTCATTGATGAAGGACTCACACGTATAATTAAGTATATTCTATAAGTTTTTAAAACTTGTTAAAATTTGAATAGATTGTTATTAATTTTAAATAAATTGTTGTGAAAATCGAAATCTACACTTGTTAATGAAGGACTAATACTTTTATAAATTAAACCTATCTTATTCGTTTTTCTTATTTGTTAGAAGCATGAATGGACTATTGTTAATTTAAAATGAGAAGGTGTTAAAACTTAAATGGATACTTATTGATAAAAGATTAACATCTACAATAATTATGCCTATCCTATCAATTTTTCTAACTTGTTAAAGTCTGAATGGACTATTGTTAATTTAAAATGATTTGTTGTTTATACAATTGTCCTATTAGACCTATACTTGTAATCATTAATATTAAGTATCCATTTACGTTTTGATAATAATTAATCCAAAATTAACAATTGCTTATTTAGGCTTTCATTAACAAGTATTTGTTTGGATTTTAACAATAAGCCATTCTAAATTAACAACAGTCCATTCGGACTTTAATGAGTTATAAAAACATATAAGATAAGTATATAATTGTACGTATTAGTATTTTATCAACAAGTATCTATTTGAATTTTAGCAGAAACTCATTTTAAATTAACAGTAATTTATTCAAGTTTTAACAAGTTAGAAAAATGAATAAAATGTGCTTAATTGTACAATTATTATTCCTTTATCAACAAGTATACATTTAGGTTTTTCACAATAATTCATTCAAAATTAACAATAATTTATTCAGGTTTAAGAAAGTAGGAAAAATTGATAGGATGAATTTAATTGTATATGTTAATCTTTTATCAACAAGTACTTGATTGAGGCTTAACAACAACCTATTCATGATTAATAACAACATATTCAATTTTTTAACAAATAAAATGCATAAAATTTCAAAATTTTTAATTTATAATTGTTCATGTCAAATTTACAAGTAAGATTATTAAAATAATAAGTGCTATTTAGAAATTAACAATACATTATTATGTTAAAATATAGAAGTGGTTAGCGGCTTTTTAAGTGGTTAAAGAATCATGGGATTAAACCCTACTTTAACCACCTAAATCAATTATTATTGCATAAAAATGTTGCTGATGCCAGAGCTTTAGTCACCTATAGTCGATGACCCCTCTACTAATAGGGGGTTAGGTGGCAATGACAACGGGGGTGAATTTTTTTTACTTTAAGAGTAATTTGATTTTTTGACCTAATAAATTAATATCAATTAAGGATAAAAAGGTTGTAATGTAATTTTAAAGTCAATTGATTATTGATTGATATTAATTTTGAATTGTGGTCCTTGGCTGTTATTTTCTCAAAAATAAATAGAAAAAGTGATTTTGCGAGTTCGAGATATCTGGTATCTTTTTTTTTCGAAAAAATATTTTTTAGTGACCACGCAGTCCGCGGGTTTATTATTTTATATAATTTGTTATTTTATTTTATTTTTTCTTTATGATAAATTTACAGGTTCTGATTGTATCTCAATTCAAGGATTTTTTTTAAAGCATATTTATGTTCTGATTGTATTATAATTATACCTTGCAATGGGGTGTCAATTTTTAATAATAAAAAAGAAAAATATTGAAAAAAAATAAAATAGCACAAAACTTAACGTTATCGTACTGGAATAGTGTTAGGCATTCTAATTTTATAATATGATAATATTGATTTTTCTCAAAGCAATATTTGTTCTCCACGTGGATTCGAATTTTTGCATGGATTTCATATACCATGCCATCCATGTTCTATTTAATGAAAACACAACATATCATATGATTGTAAATATAAATTAATTTTAAAAGACAAGAAATTAAAGAGAAATTCTATTTCAAAAATAAAGCCAATAAAAATAATGACAAATAATATTTTATTTAATTTAACAGGAACATCAACAACCAGCCATATTTTTATTAAACATAGTATGGATGACTTATTGTGTTAAGTTCATGCAAGAATTTTTCACCAAATATATTATCATACTTATTTTTGCTAAATTCTGCAGACCCCCCGGGCAAAAAAGAAGAAAGAAAGTACTGCTATTATGCTTAATAAAACTGAAAAAAATGTACATGTAAACTGCTTTAATGCCAAACATAGGATGATGATAATCTTTCATCATAGTCATTGGGCCAAACTGTTTCTTAAGCCTGACGCCCTTGATTTAAAGCCACTAAGCAAGAGAGTAAATTGATAAAAAAAAAAAAAACAGAGAGAGAGAGAGAGAGAGAGAAAATTACGCAACAAGGCTTTTACAATGAAGTTACAAAATCAGTCACTCGGGCCAATAATATAGGCCAATCCCACAAACCACCAAAACCCCAAATGATCTTAACCATCCCAAACAAAGATAAGTTATGATTACAAGTTTTACATCTCGCAAAATTTTTAAAATGCCATTCGACGCAAAACCAGCTGCTTTCTTTTTCTGTGTCAAAGAATCAGCCATAGTATTTTTCCAGGCACGAACCGTCTGCACAATCACCCATATTTTCTCCAGGTGAACCCAAGATAGGTCTACTTTATACTTCTACCTAGAGGGATCGAGACATCAAGACTTGGGAGACTTGTAATATGATAACAAGCATCTCAAGAAGCATGCACATCACACGTGTGGTTATCACAGTCATAGCATTCCTGTGTCCACCACTCACCATCTACCAACCTTCTTGATGATGGTTTAATTTCAACTGCTCTGAACCCCCAAGCATCATATGCTTACCCCATACCTCATTAAATTGCACATATCATTTAACTCTATTGCTTGATTGATAAATAACAATCAGTGAAACTGGTCACTTAATAACTTCCTCTGTTGGCTTTGTTACGTTGTTAAGAAGTCACAAGCATAAATAATTGCAGGGTTAACTGTATATGATGGTTAGTTAAGCTTATTTGAAGCTTCTTTCTCAACACTCTTCGATTAAAAAGAAGGGATTCCAGTTTAAGGAAAACAATTAAAGCAAACAATAATCAGTAAGCAAAGACCCACTATGCAGGGCTTGTCCCTTCATCATCAAGACAGTCCATGACACACATTAAAAGCTTCAACTTTCATTAATTAGGACCAGAAGTACAACTGCACACACACATGCACTACTACACAGCTCTCTCTCCTCTTTGGAGAGGGCTACATCTGAAAAGGTAAGTACACAAGCAGCAGAAGGGTAAAAGAGAAACAAGAAAAAGCAGATACACCAGCGGAAGCGCTGTCACACTAGTGCACTTCCACAGCAACTTTTCCTGACAAAAATAATTGATAGAAGAAGAGAAACTCTTTGATTTGCTTATTATTCCCTTGAGGAAGGAGCTTATTGAGTGCTGTTAATGGTGGAAGAAGTTGAGACGAGATGTGTAAGTGGCTCTTGGAGCCCAGTTGCTAGGGATAACATCTCTGGCAGATAGTGTTTTCCCAGTGGATGTGCTTAGTTTCACAGATAATGGTCCCTTCAAAGGCCCTCCAATAATATTCCAATTCGCACCCCATAGATGATTCATCTGAAGCCACTCACTAGACCCTGCCTGCCAATTCCAATATTCCAAACAAGCAAACAATCAGTCTCATTATTTAATATGAAACCAGCAATACTTGGTTTTGGTCACAGGTATAAATATCCAGGACCCACCAAACACAAATTATATATATATATATATTGATCCCATGATCACATGCATGCTTTGAGTTCATTAGATATGCAGGAAAAACAGGGCATGTTTCTTCAAAAAGAGAAATTTTACTTACCGTTTTAAATGAAAGACAGATAGGCATTCTTTTTTGTAATATTTACATGTAATGTTCAACTATCTTCTGTATTTGCCTAATTTTTATTTTTATCTTTGGAAAGATGGAATGGAAGTGGAGGGCAGTGCATGTGATGTAAGGGGACAAGTCCACGATAGTTGGAATTGTTTAATCGCAACATGCATTATAAGATAACCAGCCATGTTCATTTAGCCTTTTTAGTGGATAGAATATATGAGTGGCCATAATGCTTTTGTGCACGTTCAGGCAAGTTTCTGAGTCAAATCTGCAAACACTTCTCAAGCAGTTTCTTGAAGATGGAATATTCTATGCGTTTGTGCACTTTAGTTTAAGAGATAAAGTGCTCATTCTGGTTATGAAAATACCCACACACACACACACACACAAAAGAGAAAGAAAAGAGAAGAAACGTTGTCACTTTCTTATCTGTCATGTTAGACATCAAGTTTCGGCTGTAATGGCATCTGATTCTCTCTGAGACATGCAGCTGAAGTTCTTTTCTTTACTCTGAGTGATTTTGGATTTTGAAAAGAAATACAAACTAAAGACCAAAGAAAAATTTGCGTAAGTGATGAAGAAGATTATGAAGATTCTCACTTCTTGAATATGCAAAAAGCCAATGTCTCCATCTCCATCCTCAAACTCTACCAAAAGAGATAGCCAAAATGGTGTGGATCCTTCATTAACATGGAAGGCAATGTTTCTACCAGGATATTTACACGGTGTTCTGAAATTAAAAATGAAAAAAAAGAATCCATTAATATCTTGATAACAGAAACAGAAAAGGGCAATAAAAATAGAGATACACTGTATTCCCTATAAAAAGAAAGCAGGCTTCCCATAAAGTCTAGAAAATGTGCCCTATAGTCAAGTAGCTCTCTTAAAACTCGGGTAAATTAGTGATAAAATATAAAGTATATACATATAAAATTGACTAACTCAAGTGATACAGAGATGTTACATAAGAATTAAGAACTAAAGTACAAACTTTTTAAGATTACAGAACATGTCTTAAATGGCAAGGAACAAGCATCAAATTGTTGACTAACTCAAGTGATACAGAGATGTTACATAAGAATTAAGAACTAAAGTACAAACTTTTAAAGATTACAGAACATGTCTTAAATGGCAAGGAACAAGCATCAAATTGTTGGCTAAGTAAATAAAAGAAACTGGTAACGAAATATTAATATACCTTCGGTAAACGACTGGGATTTGACCACGGTCTCGGAGCAGAGAGTTCTCGCCAGCCAGAGCCATGCGGCCAAATGCTGCGCCACTGAGGTCAAAGTGGGTCCGGTCGGAGGGGCAGCCAGGGCACTCGTCGGTGATTATCACCGTCACGGCTCGCTTGGAGCATATGCTCTTGTCCAAGCATTTCACCTTGTAGCAGGCTCCACAGCCTTCTCCGGTCATGAACAGCACGGGACCCACAGCCCCAACTCGCGCCTTCATCGGCTTCACGTCGACCAACGACCCGTATCCACACGCCCCGCCTTCACAATCACAAACACACATTCAAGTCCAACCCGCTGAGTCAACTCAAGAAAAACCATTAATATGAAACTAAATGACAAAGTTCGAAATGAAGGGACTTACCGTTACTTCCGTCTCCTTCGGGGTCGCCGTACCAGGTGGCAGTGCCCGGGTACCAATGCGGGTCTAAAACCCGGTGCTGAAGCTGCCCCTGAGCCGCGTATACCAGCAAAACATGAATCAGCAATGAGATGAAAATCACGTCGGAGCTGCTGTGGCGCTGCATTGTGTAATGGGGCGGACTGGGGTGGCGCGCCACCACAGTTTCAGAGCTCGGGTGAACGCAGAATACGAGAAAGAAGAAGAAGGGCAGTTGGGTGGTTGCCGACAGTTTGATGGCGGCAGAGACGCTTGTTGCTGTTTTAGACCGTTAAGGGGGTTTCGGGGTATCATATATAATGCGAAGCAGGGTCCCTAGGTGGATACTTCTTATGACACCTTCATCCATCGGTTTTTGGATTATTTACAGAAAATACCACTACGTTGGGCCCCTCCAGTAGTTAAGGCGTTAATTTCGCATGTGCGCGAGTGTGTGCTTTGTACGTCTGAGGTAGAAGGGTGTGTTTGTCAATTCAGGCTGGTGAGAATCTCTCCTACCGTTATTCTCATTTTTTAATGGAACGGTCGAATCCCCAGAAATAAATAAACAAATGAAACGCTCCTGGAAATCGACGTCGATTCACACTCCTTCATATGAAAAAATGTACTACTTCATTATGTTGACTTGTTTGTTTCCTTCAATTTTTTTTTTCATCGGTATCAATATATATATATATGTATGTATTAGCAAATTATAACAAGTCATTTGATGTATGAAAGAATGTATATAGTTTTTGTGTAAAAAGAATATGTATTATCCCACAATTTTGTATATTAATTCGTTGCTCCTTATCTTTAGAGATGACATACATTTTCCTTCTCTTGATTTTTTTGCTATACTTTTGTTCGAAGGGGCCAATGGGGCAAAACCATGATAGCTTTTCATTTTTGACATATACATGTGCTTTTTATTAATCAATCAATTTTGGTTCAATAATTAAGAATATGACAAAAACACATGAGACTTGGGAGATTTTCTTGCATATAAAAAAGAGGCACGCAGACGCATCAAGTGAGTTGATTCAGACGTCTATAATTGAGAAAATTACGGACGAGTTTGTGAATTATTGGGTATAGTGGCCCTATCTATCTATCTATCGATCACGCAGGCGCTCACAGTTATATTTTTATTGTATTTATGCATAATGGTTGGTGGGCTATGTATCCATATTATAGACACAAAATCAAATTCGCATTATGTGAGCCTTTATTATTATGTTATATGTAAAATGTACGCGCCACTATGCGAACTAGAGTGGCATTAATGGAGTAAATTTAGCATGGTCAAATTTTGGTGCTTCTGTAGTGTACGGTCATTCGCTGCTCAATCTGATAGTTTCTTATTAATCAAATATGCTTTAGAAGGAGAGAAGACGGAGGTAGATTGGTGAGTTGGAAATGAAATTCTTATTGTATGTTTGGTTAGAGGGGAAGGGAAGTGATTTTGCTTTCCACTCTTCACTGGGTTGAAAGAAATGGAGAGACGAATTCTAACCAAACATACAATAAAAGAAAATCCGCAGTACGTTTGTCACACATCCAAGGCCTACGAGCTATGTAGCAAAGTCACTATTGTTAATGTTGTCATGGAAATTGTAAAACAAGTACTACTTAGTATAAAATTCTAAGACGTGATTTTCTCTTAAGTTTCAAAAGAATTATATTCGTTTTGAGTTTTCTGCAAGCTTCCACTAAACGGATGAGACAATTAAGTGGCCGGCAGACAACTTTTCTCTGGACTTCACCAGTAATTCTTCTTCTAATTCATATTTTATTTCCAATTAGCAGCAACGTATTGGTCTTAATTGAATATACATTTTTTCTACATTATGATTAAATAACACTCCCACCGACACAAACACGTCTTAATTAACTCACCATCCCGATTATATATATCGTTGCTTGGATTCCTTGATTATCGGAGTGAGTTGATAAGCAAATCTGGTGTGTAGAAGCACACAGCTTCTGAAAATGTAGCATCAAAGTAAGCGAAACTGCGAAACTTGATGGGGAAAAAGATTTTGTTTGACTGCAACATGTGCTTTTGAGCCAGGCGCGCGCGCGCGCACAATCTCGTCGCTTTTGTATGATTTTCCCGCTTAACTGTCCATGGTGGACAACATGGAAGCTTTCACACTTGTATGCAATTCTTGAGGTTCACATAGTTCAATGTGATCTTCATGTTTTATTCCCAATACTCGTGAAACAGAACGGCATGCCAAAGCAGTATTACTGTAAAAAAATTGAAGTGGTACTTAAAGCAGCTTTTAAGGCATGTAATTGTGAATCCGCTCCGGAGATGTTATTAGAAATAGATAAATTGCATTAACTGTAAATTTCTTGGTGCTCTCATATAGATTCAATTCAGATATCCCCTCTGTTGTGTGTCCCTTCAATTTCCTCATCACAGTATTGCCTGATATAAAGATACTTATGATGCTTGATATTTGTTTCAAAGTTGAATCTTGCTTTTAATAAAGTTAAGTTGAAAAGAAAACGCCAGATTGTATAAGCTTCCCTAGTCATCTTCCTTCGCTATCACAAAGGAAGCTTTCAATTGACTTTACGGGTTGTCCAGACCACATTCTGAGTTTTCGCTTCTGAGCTGGTTAGCCTTAATTGCATCGAGGCATAATTCCTATCACTTTTTCGAAAATGAAACAAACATCTGTAAGGTGATTCACTAGCTCGAGTACTCACATGGGTGCTGCGGGCATATATCATGCCCTTAACTCTCTAGTCATAATGAAAACATGGAATTGCGAACAAGTTATTCAAAGAATATTTGTTCACGTGTAGGTCTGACATCCAGCTACTAGCTATATTGCTTTCAGCAGAAGGTGCAGGGAGATTTTAAGAGGTTCGGGACTTTATTCACAACAAGACACGGATCAATACAATGCAACAAAGAGAATGAAAAAGCCACGAGTATGGTGTATGAAATTTGTAATTAATAGTTTGGTTTCTCCAATCAATTCAGTAGCTATTCCATTTCCAGTTGATGATCTGAAAGAGACTTGGTTTGCCTTCCTGCAACAAACTCCAAATGCTGGGGGTCCAACTGAACAAGATTACGACAACTCAAGAAAGAAGGAAACAGTCAAATAAGGGAACTGCAGTAAACACCAAATGGTCTAATCTGCCAGCCAATGAGTAGAATTCAACTGAGTAGAGTTGCATATAATTTTCATTTCTGTTCATTGGACCTTTTTTTTTTTTCCTGGGCCGGGGGGGGGGGTATTGGATCGTCATGAAAATATGCTTCATCAGCAAGATCTATAAATTCCCGCAAATAACATGTAAAAACCCGCAGTAGCAAATACTTTATGTGCACACTAGCTCCTGGGTGTTCTAATTTCTCCAGTCTTCAGAAAGTTATTTGTACAATATTTTAACTTAACAAACAATATAATAACAACAACAATAACCATCCTCGTAATTCCTATATTATTTAGGACAAAAGCAACAGAAATTTCAATTTTTTTTTACAGGTTATATTGTCACATCTATAAGTAAGTTTCTAGTCTTTTAAGAAGTTGAGTTTCCCACGCACTAAGTAGCAACTTCAAGATACAATCAGATTATGAAATCTTTTTCAAACTTCTAGTAATTTATCTATTGATCCAGACTCAGAGACAAGTGGCGCCAAGTTAAATCTAATATAAACAAATCTTTCTTAACATATCTAATATGAAGGAAGAATTGGTGAACCTTGAAAAATCAATGATGGTCAATCAAGAGACTAAAATTAATTTTACCTTGTCACTAATCTTTACATTCTTCCCATCATCTCTTTGCTCCATATCCAGGATCAACAACAACATATGGAGGTGGATAGGAAGGATTGTTCAGGAGTGGAGCTCTTTCTGGAGCATATTCATCATCACTGTCATAATACTGATGAGGTCCAAGAGCTCTGAGTATCATTGCCAGTAATAAAGAGAGCCCCTGCGTGCAGAAGGCACAGGCAGCTATCTATTGTTAGATTGATCATCATCAAAATAATAGTGGTGGTGGTGGTGGTAGTAAGAATAATAATAATTCTCAAGTTTTAAAGTTGATCATACACAAAAGTAACCAAGTACACAATGAAATATACTAGAGCTGGCCATGAACAGCACTGACAATGATACAGATCACAGAAATGTGAGACATGATGTTATTTTCCATTTGTTTTAGTAATAATGAACCCACTTCAGTTTCTTAATCATGAATACATGAATCCAAGTAACTAAAAACTAAGCAGAACAAAACAAGCACAATAAAAGATAAGCATAACTTCTGTAAGGAACAATAGAACAGTGGGATTTCAATTTTCTAATTTTAAAGACATGCAAAATCAACTCTATCTTAAATGACAAAGTATTTACCCAACAATTTTAAGCCCCTGCTAGTTGAATGAGCATATATTATATAGTAACCAAGTTGACTACAAAGTTAAGATTCCGCAATAGAGATTCACTGAAGTGTCACAATCTAAAGGCAAGAGAGTGAGCAAAACAAGGAGAGAGATATATACCTGTACAATAACAATTGACAGGCCTATCCATTTGCACATTTCAAAGTCTGACCTAACAAAATTCTTGAACCGATCAAAATTTCCCATGGGATCCTTTGGAAAGTCCTGTTTTCAATTTTGAAGTCAAAAGAGATCACAACACAGGAAGGGCAAAAAAAAAAGAGATCATAACACAGCATAAATCAACTAATACAGCCACGGAATAAGAACTAATACAAAACTACTGAAATAACAAAACATGCTATCAAGAAATGTTTGTGTCATGACAAACCTTCTCCCAGTCCCGGTTTAGAAGTACATCAACGGTTACTGCAGCCTCTAGCATGAGGAGCATGAGGATGAACAAGATATACTGTTATAAGTTAAGATGAAGAGGAAAGTAACAGCATCATGTGCTCATTCTGAGTCAAAAGTTAACAAGACTACTGATAAAAAATATTCCTGCTTGTAACTAAACAAAGTGTTGCTTAGTAATTTTCTTCTTTACTAAAAAGTTCCCTAGGTATTTGCTACCAAGTTGTCTATAAAAAACAAAATATACAAACTTTTTCTGAAGCAATCAATCATATCGTGGAGAGCTTAAAACAATACACACGTCTTACACATTTATTGGAGAATCAAATAGTATATGTCTAAAATACAGCACCTATGTTCTGCCTTATACATTTATAAACTCAGCATCACCTTCTCTAAAATTTCAAGTATCCAAGATGTGAAATGTTGGAACGCATCATAAACCATAAAGGTGATATCAACAGAAAAGTTGATATTTGACAGGGAAAGGTAAGGGAACAATTATGAGTTGATATTTGACAACAACCATTTTATCCTCCACGGCTACACCTCATCTGTTTTGTTTAAGAACTCAATAGAAAAGGTGATCGAACAGAGACCAAGAGCTTTTATCCCAAAATAGTAGAAGCGTTTGCGGGGAAAAAAAAAAAGACGTAATGACAAGAAAGAAAAACATACTGAAATTTTTATTTTGGTGGACAAGCCCAAGCTCTAAAGCAATTTTTAAAGTAGGGATGCTGAAAGTAGCAGTCACATCTTTGACTAATAATTTCCCGAAAAGGATACCAAGTAAAGGCAACATCCATTAGCAGTTTCAGCAGCAACATGACCACTGCAAGTGATCACACAGAAAGCAACTCCAAGGCCAAGGAAGGTGTAAATGAACCTGATTGAAAAGAGTATTTCATTCATGATGAGTCAATAGGAACTAGAAATCTAATATTCATACCCCATCCAGTCCCAGTATTCCTATTCAACCAAATAAGCTTATTGGCAACCACCGCAAAATTATTAGTTCTCTGACATCCCGTTACCACCGGGAAGTGAATAAAAAAGCGAATATGGGATTCAAGTTGATCAATAGTTGCTTTAACGAGCGAAATGTTGAGGAAAATAATTTATATGAATTAATTAAATCAGAATTTTTATTTTCTAATTTTTCTGCCTCGAACATCATTAAGGTCCAAGGATGGAAATTTCTTTTATTTCCCCCGATTACCAATCATTTGACCAAACAGTGGTAATATATGAATGAGGCCTAAACTTTCTCTTTACACCGCTAGAAGAACCTTGAACAAGAAAAAAATGAGACGAAAAAGACGAAATTCCTACCAGGGAGAAGGGTAATCAGAATCTCCACCAAAGGGAAGCTCGCCTGTCTCTCTCTGCCAATACCTAATCATCCATACAGCATAAAGAATCATGGCTAACCCAGCCATTCCAATGACCGAGTTGACCAGCTTCAATAACGATTGAATGCAGCTCCTCACCATACTCGCCATTTTCTTCCCGAAATTCAATTCGTCAGAATCAGCAAAGAACCTTGGCTTCCCAGCTTGAAAAATAATTTAACAAAAAAACAATTAAAGAAACCCTTAATCAAATCCAGGGCCCGTTGCGTAACATAAAATGCGAAAGAGGTTTTGACCTTTTTTGCAATTCCATCAACCAACAAAGGTCCGAAATGTAGTCCTTTCTCCCTCGTTTCGAATTATAGAGTATTTTTTAAAATATTTTTTACCTTAAAATATAAAATAAATAAATTAAAATTTTATTAAATATATTAATTTTAATATTATCCTTTTTTTTATAATTAATATTTATCTTTTTTTAATATATTAAATAATCAATATTTTTAAAAAAATTTATTTTTATTTTTTTAAAATAAAATTATTAAATATATTTAATAAAATTCATCATGTGAGTTTTTATTTAAAAATTTGAGATTTTTCTTTTTTAATAACATCTCAAAAGAAATATGAAATAAATATCTGACATCTTAGATACAGAATCAACCAAGTTGCTGTGGTGTAGTGGTTATCACGTTAGTCTTACACACTAAAGGTCCCCAGTTCGATCCTGGGCAGCAACAGCCATTCTATTTTTGAAACCTTTTTATCATTATAGATTGTATAGATTGTTCCGCCGGGACGCTCAAGCAAAGGAATCATAGTGTGAAGTACGAACAAACGAAGGCATGGTTCCCGACCCTAGAAGTGAGAAGTTTGTTTTTCACATGTTCTCACAACAATCCACGTTTAAAAAACTGGGGAAGAAAATTTTTCTTCAACATTGACCTTAAAATCCTCAAAAATTCTTCATACAGAAAATTACGACAGAGCTAGCATAAACTAGTTCCAGTACATTAAAAAGTGCTTATTTAGCCAGTGCATTAATTGGCGTCCAAATCTAAGTACATTCTATAGGCGCTTCGATCGGAGGAGTAGTATCCTTCGATCAAAGCGTCAACCTGGAAGCCTAGCCTCCTGTAAAGTGTCAAGGCTGGAGTCCTCGTGGGATCAACATGGAGCAATATGCGTGAGACTTTCCTTGTTCTGCATTTCTGAATTGCCGCCTTTAGCAGAGTCTCACCATGGCCTTGCCTCCTCCATTGCTCCTTCACTAGTAAAACCACAATATGTAATACCCAGGTTAGGAAACTGTGGGGATAAGGCCGGTTGAATTGAATCTCTATCGTTACAAATAACATAAAAAATCCAAGAAAGCAAGATAACTTCAATCTAAAGATTCAATCCTTTTTTACTGTGTATTTTCATCAAACAGCTTATGGGCGTGACCCAAGTTGAAGCAACAGTACAGGACCCAACATGAAAAGTAGGAAACTCAATTTAGATGCAAAATTCCAAATAAATTATAGGACGAGGAAGTTGAAACCTGCGAGCTTTGTGATAGAGGCGTACAAGGAAGAAGGCCAAGAATACATGGCATAGCCTACAACTTCGCCATCTACGTCAAGATAAAGCAATCCAGAGTTCTTCTTTCTCAGTTCTTGGTCAAAGAATGTAGCGAGTGATTCGTGTTTTGGAAATATCTCTCTCTCCAATTTCACAATCTCTGCCACTATCATATCCCAGTCGCCGGAGTTTCTATGAAGCTCTACAATGGCACCTGTCGCCATGAATAGTTCACACACTTGATGACAGCTCGTTGGTGAGTTTTTTTTTTTTTCCCCACAGAACAAGCATTTTAAGCCTTCTCCACCGAGTATTATGAGCTAAAAAGTTCAAGGCTTCCACTTTGATAAAATTAATTGAATAATTGAATTAAATGTATGTAATATATAATTTTTTAGAAGAGGTAATAAATATAAAAGACGAATAATTACTCCTCCCCTATGCCGCTGCTGCAGAAGCCCCTGCAAAAACAAATGCCATCGTTAAAATGGTGTAACCGTTGAGAATCTCTCTACTTCTTGATTGTCTTGGACATGGATTCTCTCCATCGTCACCAACCTCCGAGAAATTTCAGATCCCCCCTCTGCCGGCCTACCTGAAGAGGAGCGATTCGAAGAGAAAGAAAGGTTCTCGGATTACTTTGGTATTGGTTTCGATGGTTAGCCTCGCTTCCTTTTTCATCCTGAACGGAATGATTTGGCGTGTGGGTCCCATCGATTGCGTCTCCTCTCTAATCCTTTCCTTCCGCTCCAATTTAAGCATATCAAACTCGGAATCCTTCAGTTATTTCTTCTTCTTTGCCTCTACTGCCCTCTACACAAAGGGCAGTGTTTCCTGTCTTTGAAACAAAAAAGGGGAAGATGTCATCGGTGAAATGGCCGCCTTTATATTCTTCACCGCCGTCTTCAGAGAGCACTAAATTCGGCAGGCAATTCACTAAACCGCTTCACTGCTCTCTGTTAGCCTCTAATCGGCTCACTTGTTCATTACAAATCAGACGCAGTGCCACTCTCGGCTATCGCCCATCTTTCAAAATCTTCTGCGAAAGGAGTAAAACCACTCCAGGGAATCGACTTTATCAGGTAAATAAATATATTGAAAAAGAAAAAAAGAAAGAAAGTCTAGCTTGTTATTTCGTCAGACTCTTCATTCGGTGCTGCTCCAATTCGGATGTGATGCATTTTGGTATTACTTGGGATTATCATGTGTAGACTTGCCAAAATGCCTCGGCTATGTTGAAACGCGTTAGATAGTTATGATTTGCTGTGGGGCCTGTGTTATTTCATATTGTGAATTTGTGATAGGGATTCTCAGTATTGCAAGGGGACAGTCCATGGGAGGGTGGAAACCTATGGAGCACTCTTGCTTTCTACATATTCAACCTGCATATTCCTTTGAGTTTTGGAGGGTTATCTGTGGTTGCCCAGATAATAGGGAAGAATCGTCTTGTTCCACAAACTGAGGTTAGTTTTTCTGTCTGTTGCTTTCCTGGCTACTGATCAGCAATTGTTTCCGTAATGTATATTGAGAAAGAAGAAATCAATGAAAAATGAGATGTTATCAACTTTTTTCTATATTTTCTTCTAATCACGCAACGCGAGTGTTAATACTCACTGTTCTACTATTGTTTGGGTTACTTCATTCGTTTCTTGATTTGAAAGTATTATATTCCGTTTATGTTGCTAAGAGTTTGAATTCACAACTACGCATAGATAGGGCCATAACCAGTTATTTGATTGATTTTTCTCTGCTCAACTTCTTACCGTGTGTTGTAGCATAGTATAGGAATCATTAAATTGTTAAACCAGTCTAATTTAATTCTCTCTCTGGTACTATTTATAGGGCAGAGAGAGAAAAAAATTTTTTATCCTTTTTATAAGTCATGTCATTCCCTACCTAGTGAGATAAGGCTTATTGTTATTGTTGTTATTGTAAATCACGTCATTACACTTTCATGACAAATTTTTTTTTATCCTCTATTGAATGTTAGAGAGAGAAAATTGTTATTGAAGTATGAGTATTTAATAAGGGTAAAGTTAAGAACTTATTAAATTTTAAGACAGAGTTAGTGAGTTTTAATATTTTCTTTAGTATTGGTGAAACCTGTTGAAAGTGCCTTATAAATAGGACCAAATGAGTAAATTACTTTGTTTATGACTAGTTTAATCATGATTCGACTACATTTTTTATCATTTAATTCTTGAACCAGTGTCTTGATCGGGTCGACTCATTTTTTAAGTATTCAATGCAATTTCTGTTCATTGTTCTATGCAAAATACTAGAAATGGTTCAATCTTGATATATTTAGCTTCAAAATCTGAACGTTAATTTTGATATGAAATATCTGAATCATACCTTAAACAGATATTCTAAGGCTCCTTTAAATTCACGGATGCAGATCTTGGCAATTCTTTTCATTCAACTTCTCGAGCTTAATGGAGCATTGCTTTTACTGAAGTACACAGCTAAGCCACAGTATAAGTTTTCAAGTTTCTTCAAAAATAACGGATCACTTGGAACCAGAAGCTGGGTTTTGGCATCAGCAGTGGGATTCGGAGTTCTTGTCCTCCTGCTTTTTCTAACATCACTGGTTGCTAGCAGGTTATTTGGCTCTAAGGTTAGTCGTCGTCTTTTGCTTTGCAGAGTCAATTACTAATTATCTTCCACATTTGTTAACTATCCTCCTGTCATCTCTATGACATCACAAATGTCAGAGTTGAACCATGTAACATAAATATTTATAATCTTCTATTTCTATTTGTTGTGAATGACTGAAAGCCTTGTTTCTGAGTTCTGAATATTGAACAAGTGTCTAGGTGATGACACGTGACAGGATCCCTTGCCTTTTCTGAGTTGCTAATTCTTGAAGATTCTCATGCATTCACATAATATTAAATATTTCATTTCAGGTTGGGTTCAGAGGTATCAAATAGTTGTATTTTGCTTGTTCAAGAATTATTACAACATAGTGTACGAAAACATTCTGATTGTATACTATCTGCTTGACACCACAGTGTGTGAAATTTCTGGTCATCACTGATACATTCTTCAGAAGTTTCCTTATAATTCTTCTTTGAAGTTATGAGATTTTTTTTTTTTTTGTGATTTTCTGGACTTCAACTTCCACCACGTACATGCAGCCTGTCAACAACTCCATACTGAAGGATATCCTCTTAAGCAGTGCCATATCCAGAGTGACCTGTGTCATTGTTTACTGTATTGTGTGTCCCCTTCTGGAAGAAGTTATTTATAGAGGCTTTCTGCTAACGTCACTTTCCTCCAACATGGAATGGCTACAAGCAGTTGCTGTAAGCGCAGCAATATTCAGTGCAGTTCATTTCTCTGGTGAGAGCTTTCTGCAGTTGTTCATCATTGGTTGTGTCCTTGGTTGCTCCTATTGCTGGACTGGAAATCTAAAGTCTTCCCTCCTTATACATTCTTTGTACAATGCTCTCACCTTAATAATATCCTATTTGTATTAAACTCCAGATCTCATTGTTCTCATTTTTTGTTGTTTTCAATTCAAAATGATAAAGATTGCTACATTGTCTTACCAATTACCATGATTGTTTCCTTTGTTCAACTTTCCACCTAACTGTTACTTTTTTGAACTAATGATTGTTTTATAAGGCTTGCATTTGAACTAATACCCTCCCCTTAATCAACGTATAGTTTAAAGCTTATAATAATTGTCGTCACGGAAATTAGAATAAGTCCATAATTTTATATTGGTAAATAACTAAGTCATGGATGATAATGTTTCTAAAAATTGCATTTTATGATTTGGCGTGGATAAAATATATTTGGGGTCGGCATTTTATCTTAAAGAATGGACAAAAACAACTTTTACGAATTACCAATCAGGAACTATGCTTATCCTACTGTTAAGGTAAAGCTTCCTCGCACCCCCTTGCTCATCTCTCAATATTTTTTGCTCATTGTTACCATGAAAGTTATGAATTTAGTTAACTAGTCACTTCTTGACTTCTGATCAACCACTCCTTCTTTGTAAGAAGGTGGTGGATGATGAGAGGTTGTTGACACAATTTTCACTTAGCTTGTACTCTCTATTTGGAGTAATTTATCATCTTTTTCGACCCAAAACAAAAAAACAATCAAAGTGAATGATTATTAGACTTTTCTTTTACACTTTATAAATATTATAATATTTAAATTATGTGAATATTCATAACTTCCAAAAATGAAACTTTTGGTATTCTATCTCATATTAAATATCTTTATATCCCATAATTATCAAAGCGAAGAATTTTAGAACCTGTTTGGTCATCTATTTTATAAATAGTTTTTTATTTTTTAGAAAAAAATATGTTTGAAAATATATTTTCAAAAAGCGTTTTGAAGAACAAAAAAGCAAAATATTATCCTGAATAATAGAAAAATAAAAATATTTTTAAGTGTTTTGGGATTTTTATTCCAATGAATAAGGTAAAATGAGAAAAACATATATTTTTATTATTTTTTATTCTTAAAACATATTTTACAAAATACTAATTCCTAAAATAATAAAACAAAGACAATTTCAAACAAGTCCTTAGTATTTATTTTCTATAATTTTTAATTGTACAATGTTATTGTTTAATTTTTCCCCTTCATATACCTATAAATTTTAAGTTTGTCTTTAGTGTTGGTGTTATTTTTGAGAAGTTATTGCTGCTGTTATTTAAATTAGGGAAAATTAATTCAGAGACCCTCATAGTTTTTTCGAATTTTTAATCAGGTCCCTAAACTTTTTTTTATTTTTGTCAGATCCTTTATGTTTACTCCATTTGAGGCGTTAAATGTTAATCCCAAAAGAATAAAACTGTTTAGTATGAATTAACGGGCTCTAACCAGCGTGCATAAACTATGATTCATCATCGTTTTGTTGGGGGTGGAAGTTGAAAAGTAAAGGATTTTGCCGATCTGTGTGGGTGGAAATCGAAATTAAAGGATTTAATAACTGATCCGCCGTGTCTGCAGCGGTGGAAGTCGAACAAACGGGTAGGAGGAGATTTTGGTTTTCGAAAAACACCCAAAGGCTTTTTTTTATTATTTTTCTTCTCACTGGCAATGTGTGTTGGTGGAAGTAGGTGCTGGGTGTTCTTCGTTTTTCTGATTAGTTTCTTTTTCTTTTGGGTGTTTGATCAACTTGTTTTGGCATCTGAAAATAAGTTTTTTGTTGGGTGTTTAGTCGAAGATTATGAGCATTGCTAGAGTGAAAATGATGCATCAAATATTGAAGGAGGTTGCTAAGCTAAGTGCGTGGACTTTTCGAAAAACAATAGAAAGTCACATTACCCAGAAAAATAAAGCATAGAAGGTCTCACCCGAAGCTCATAACAACAGTAAAGCTTAATGGTAGAGAGAAGACAACAAATTCACTTTATTAATTTCTTTCCAAAGACATGGCTTCATTTTCCCACTTGGATTTTTGGTCAAAGTCCATCGTGTTAAAAGATTCACTGCTAGTTGCCGCCTCACATCTTTCTAACAGACTCCTTAACAGTGTTAGTATCCATTTAACGGTTTTAAAAACGAGGGTTAATTGAAAAAAGAAAAAAGTCCAAGGAACTGCTTCAAAGCTAAAAAAAACTATAAGAATTGGAAGATTAATTTTTCCTTCAAATTAAATGTTACCAAACGGGCATAAACATCCAAAATGTCCTAGGGGGGCAAGTTAAGCCGGTTACATAATCTCATGGGAGAAAAACTTTGTCCCAAAAAAAAAAAATCATGTTGGTGGGCGACAACGAGAAGAGCATAGCCGATAAGCATCTTCCCTTCAAAATTCGGATCTTCATGTCTTATCCGTCTCCCCTTTCACGTGATAAATCTCTGTCCATCATCACCGTCCATTATGATTACTTTATTTCTTAATTTCAACACTATCACAGGTCAATAATTAATCCCATTCGTTCATTTTCATTTATACTCGTCCCTTCTAAAATAATCTCAAATTTCGGTTAAGATTAGTTGTCTTTCTCGCTTCCCATTTTCCTCCTTCCCTCTAATTTTCCTCTCACTTTCTCTAGTTCTCTCTCCCTCCAAAGTCCAGACGCCTTCCGATTTCGAATTCCCCTGCTGGAAATGGAGATGGCAATGGAGGATTCGCGCTCGCTTGAGGTTCTCTCTATGGATTTTCAGGCGTTTCCTGGAGATGGAAGAGCCCGGAGATTACCTGATAATTTAATACCGTGTACGATCCGAATATGTGCTTTGGCAGTGGCCTGTTAAGGTTCTATCTCCGAGGCTTCTATCTTTATTTTTCCATAGTTTTTGTCGTTGCTCGCTGTTCCTACTCCGAATTCCGATCGTTGGATACTTCCTCCACTATTTCTTGGTATATTACTTTCTTCAATTGATGCCGTTCGTCTCGTCATATTTGTGTAAACTTGGATGTAAGTAGCTACCGTGTCGAATGGAGGTCTGCTTTTGAAAATTTAGAGTATATTTAATTCTACTGCGGAACTTGGGTTCCCTAGGGTTTAGAACCCGGCATAACATTTGTCTGCAAAATCAGTCTCGAAATCCCTTTAGGCTTGAGTGAAATTTTTGCTGTACTTGCGTTTTCTTCCGTGTCCATTGGGTCTTGAGGTTTTGATTTGAACTTTTGGACTGGAAATTTTCATGGCTGGAAAGTTGGAATTAGGGTTTCCGAAGACCAGTTCTTGTAGTCTAAGGGAGCAGCTGGCTAGAAAGATATTACATACTGTGAGATCCCAAGGGCATCCTTATGTTGACCTCCGTGAAAATGGGAAAAAATTCATATATTTCTGCACCCTGTGTCTTGCTCCCTGCTACAGTGATACTGCACTGTTTGATCACTTGAAAGGTAATCTCCACATGGAGAGGCTATCTACTGCTAAAGTTACCCTTCTAGGACCTAATCCGTGGCCTTTTAATGATGGCATTGTCTTCTTTGACACCTCAATTAAAAATGTTGATGACTTGCCAAATATGAATGCTAAGCAAAAGAGGCAGTTGGAATATACTGACAATGACAACAGTCTTGCTATTGTGAAGTTTGGTGAAAATCTTATTTCAAGTGATGACAATCATGCGGAGGTTGATGAAGTTAATTGCAGCATAAAGTACTTAGAATCTGGTGCAGTTCATTCAGACCTTCAACTAAGTTCAACTGATGATGCAGTGAGTGATGATTATACTCTTGTGATTCCTCATGCACTGATTAGGGACAAAACTTCTGACTTACAAGCTAGGGAAGTGGGTTTGGGAAAGATTGCTGCTAGGTTCTTTGAGAAGGATGGTGGTTTGAATGGGATTAGAAGAATATGGTGTGAATGGTTAGGAAAAGATACTGATGGTCATCAAGTTGGTTCTGTGGTTCCAGAGCACAATTTTGCTGTCATTATTTTCTCCTACAATTCTGATTTGGGTCGAAATGGATTGCTTGAGGAGTTGAAGTTCTTGTTACCATCTACTTCAGTGACAGAACCAGAGATTGAGAACAGCAGCGGCCAAAAGAGAAAGAAATCATTTTCTGACCCTGAGGATGTTAGTGATTCTTTGAGCAATCAGTATGATTCATCAGTTGAAGATTCTTCGGCTTCTAACAGTGCCACCTCCAGATTAGCCCTGGGTCATATTGACAATCAACTTCTCCATACCAGGTTCATTTCAAGCAAGGCTATAAGGAAAGAATTGAGACGACAGCAGCGTTTAGCAGCAGAGAAGATGTGTGATATCTGTAAACAAAAAATGCTTCCTGGTAAAGATGTAGCAACTCTTTTTAATTTGAAGACCAGAAGACTAGCTTGCAGTAGTCGGAATGGGACTGGGGTAAGAGATTTTGCTATCTTTAATTTGTTATGTATGTTTGTAATTATCAAGCTTGATCAAAAAAGTCTGATATTTAAACATCATCTCTCTAAACTTGGAAAAGGAATTTCATTTCACGAGTATCATGTGCAGGCGTTCCACTTGTTTCATGCATCCTGCCTTGTACACTGGATACTGATGTGTGAATATGACATGATCACAAATCGTGTAGCCTTTCCAAAAGTTAAAAAAAGAGCCAAGAGAAAGGTGGGAGCAAATGTTAGTCAAAATGGAAAAGAATATGATGTGAAAGTTGCTAAGGGGAAAATAAACTCTGTGTTCTGTCCAGAGTGCCAGGGTACAGGTATCATCATTGATGGAGATCAGGTGGAGCATGCACCTTTTTCTTTGTCTGAGGTTTGCTCATTTCACGACTCCTCCTTTCTTAACCCTCCATTTATCTTTTAGTTTTCTTCTGTTTCTTTGAAGCTTTTGGAATCATCTTTTAGCCTCAGCCCTTTCCTTTATTTTTATGGGAGGCCAGTTAGCATCGAGGCAAATGTTCGTTTGGAATTTATGATTTCACTATTTCTATTTGGTATTTTGGCAGATGTTCAAATTTAAAATAAAGGCTTGTGATGCACGTAGAGAATGGATGAAAAGTCCTGAACTTTTGCAGAATTGCTCGACTGGATTTCACTTCCCTGCGCAATCTGAGGAAATAGGCCAGGTACTCAATGTTTGTGCGTATCATTAAGATGAAAATCAATATTGCATTTATTGATCTATCTATATTGATCGATTTGCTTAGGAAAAAGTGAAGCCCATAAAATTGCTGCCTTTCTATCGTGCTGATGGGCAAAGTTAGACACGAGCACAAGAGCCATGGAATCTTGGCAATTGACATCTTCAAATTTATCCTGCATGATCTGTGACCCATAATATGTTGTACATCCATGCACATATTCTGTATTTCTTAAAAACTATGATTGGCTCTTTGGATAGATGTAGCCATGTAGGTAGGTGGATGGATTAGAGGCTCGCCTTACCTGATAAGACAATGTGTATACCTGTTGGTTTGTTGTTAACAAGGCATCTGTCAAAATACGTTGCTGACATATTTGTACATGGTAAAGCAAAGGGCAAAAGATCATTGACCTCGCAATGTACTAGAGTCTTGTGATTAGTATTTTCTGACTTCCTGGCTAGTCATTGCTGGATACTCCGGCAATCTGTAGCCCGGCGGCAGAAACTTTGGGTTATTGATTATTGGGTCGTTGAGATTCGTGGCCCTATATTCTGTTTTAATTTGATTCACTCAATTTTCTTCCGTAGTGGAATCAGGTAAATGTCGGGTAATTTTTTTACGAGGGAATGTTTGTGCCAGTAGTATCATTATTATATCAAATCCATCGAGGTGGGGTGTTATTTAGAGAAAGAAACTCATATTGGTGGTTGTCCTGTCGGAAGAATTATTTTTGTTTATGGTAAATTAAAATAAGTTCAAATTCTGTTTAGCACATCCAGGTTGTATACAGAAATCGTGGAATATAAAGACCTGGTGAAAGGAAATTATCTTCGGTTCAATTTATGCATGCTAACAATTGTAATGACGAATGAAAGAGGGAGATGATTGAAAACCAATTTGGAGACTGTCTTAACGATTAAATCAAAAGAATGAAAGCCAATTTAACCGAGAAAGACCCGCCAAAACCAAGGAAAATTACTAGCTGCCGAACTGCATGAAATAAATTATACTTCAAGAAAGTGCCAAACCGGCAACGGCAAGCCGTAGTTTCACAACTGTATAAACTGAATTATTTCATCCAGATGCGGAATTTAATTATACAACCCACGTTTCTCCCGTTACTAAGCATCCTATCCGAGTCCCAACGTGACCATGGTCTGCGCTCTGAACTTGGAGCACAACTGCACAAGATTTGAAGAAACACGTGAAGAAATAAAATAATGCATTTGAATTATCATCTAAAGGGATGTGGCTGTGATCAAAACAAGCAGAATAATGACTTGCCGGCGAGGACATGGAGAAGAAGCATTTGACGAAATCCCAGTTGTTGCCGGCCCAGGAGTAGCCATGCTTTGTCAACTGTCTTTGCCGATCCCCGGTTTATATATTACAAACCATTAGGCCTCTGAACTCTGTAAACCCAGAAAGATGGGCAACTCTGATATGCAAGAAATAAGCTGCAGATTCAGAAGCTTGCTATGGTTGGTGATGATCATTCTTCTGCTTCTGATTCTGCAGGTTTCAGTTTCCCAAGGAAGGCCTCTTTCCAAGGTGGAGACACTGGCCACCGTTGCCGCCATGCTTCCCAAAGGCTCTGTTCCCCCAACTGGGCCCAGCCCTGACATTAATTGATTGCTCATCCTCAATCATTGTTAGTAATTTTAAGATTCAGATGAACATGAGATTGGTGAGACATTGTCATTCACAAGTGTCCACACACTGTACGCAAGCTTAGGATGAATCTTGTGTGATTGGAATGTTATCCAGGTTCGTTTATATAAGTTGTTATTATTTTGATTTGTTCATTTATTTGTTTTGTTTTCCATATGTGAAGAGATTCATCTTAAGAACGATGGTCTGCCCATTCGAAAAGTACTGTGGGAACGCCTTGACTTACCTGAGTTTCCACAGATGACATGACAGCATCAGCATGCACATGAATCTTCTTGTTGGAAAACTTCAAACGCATTCACACAAGAAAGCAGCTTCAGACACATAAAAGGCATGGGAATCAGCAAACTCGCACAATTCTCTTGGTTTCACTTCATATAAATATAATACAACTTACAATCATACTTATTGCAGAAAAAGAAAATTGCACATGTACAAAAGTGTTTTAGATATGTCAATTAATTTTTTTGAAAAAATTAAGACACTTCATTTACTTTAACCAATTTCCTTGACCAACATAATTCAATATTTTATAAAAAGTATTGGAAGAAGTATAAAAATAAGAAAAAATTTATATACTTGACATTATATATTTAATATGTATTTATCCAATCAAATCAAGACATGTGAATTTTAATATATTAATAATATTAATAAAAAATTTTATAGAATAAATAATTTATATACAATTTAGATGTTTTAATTTAATTGAAAACAAGCACTTTACACACACATATATATAAGATTAAGTGTATAAATTTTTTCTGTAAAAATATACTGGTATAGTTTTTTATTAAATCACAGCTTATTGAATCACTTTATTATATTGTTATAGAGTGAGGTGTAATAAATTTTATTATATAATACACACACATATGTATGTAAAAGTATATAAAAAAAATCCCCCTTTTTATCGAGATGATGAGGGATGTTGCTTTGTAACCATGTTGAACTTCTTCGAATTCTAAGAAAAAAAAAATGTTCATATTTAATACCTACCCAAACCATATTTTAAAAATATATCTATAAAAAATAAAAAAATCAAATAGAATTTCCAGCTTCTATTCAAATTTAAAGTTAAAAAATAAAACAACCCTTGTTTATTTGATCTTAGTTGTGTCTTGGCCAAAAATAAAAAGTTTAATAATTATTTAGATTTCAGTTTTTATCTAACAAAAAATATATTTAAAAATCTAATTATTTATTGAATTTGATAAAAACATATTCCAAATCTAGTTTGGAGTAGGGTTGTGTAAAAGTTTTACAGTCCGGTTCAACCCAAGATGGTCTAATCCTATACGTTCATATAAACACTGGTCCTTTAAGACTAAAAAAACTAAAAGTACTAGACTATTTCTTCAGGCTAGACTAGACAAAAGACTGGGTATTTACACCAATTGGTTCAGTTCAGTCCTATTAATTTATTTAATGTATTTATAATTAATTTATTTTTTACAAATACTTTAAGTGTAATTGACGCTAAGGAGATGATTGCATGAAAATTTGTTGAGTTTGTTTTTAAATTGTTGTTCTAATGTAGAGTTGTTGAAATTTGTTAAGTATTATTTTTATTGAAATTATAAATTTAAATCATTTAAACTGTAATTACAATATTTTTTTGTTGAAAATTATTATAAATTTATTATGGTTGTGAGTATTTTTATTATCTTAATTTAGTTTATTAAGTTAAAGTAGATCATTGCCCCTCATAGAGAAAAAAAAATAGCTAAATGAATATTGAATTAATAGAATTAGTCTTTTAATTTTATAAATCAAGTTCGATCATATTAATTTTTAAATTACCACTATATAAGACTAAATTATAAATTACCTAGTTTAATTCTTTTATAAAAGAAATCAGATTTTAAATGAGGCCGAAGTGTAGTGCCTTCCGACCCTTTGTGCAGACCTATTTTGGAGTACTTTGGAGGCTCACTTTGTGAACTTTCTCAAAGCTTTCAGCTTGCCTTCTTGTATTCAAAAATATGAACAACCCTAAGTGGGAAGAAAACTTCGTGTTTTGCCCCTAGTCACTTCGGCCGAGCGCGCGACGATTTGCTTCGTCATCCTTGAACAGTAAAACTAAAACCTAGAAGACACTGAGAGAGCAAAGAACGATTATGCTTATTCGCTCAAAATGGAATCTTTACCGCAACACTTGGGTTTCAGGGTCTCTATCCTTCTCGACCCGACCCGTGATTCGTTATTCCCCTCATATTGACTCTCTGCACCTTCGCATTTCGAGGTCTGGAGACCCCAAAATATCCATGGCTCGTTTGCTCGACCAATGGGTTGAAGAAGGCAGACGGGTCAAGCAATCGGAACTCCACAAGATCATCAAGCAGCTCCGAAAGTACCGTCGCTTCACTCATGCCCTTCAGGTAGTACTTGTTGATTGAGAAACCTTGAAACTAATTCAGAGATTATTAAAATGCCCATTTGTAATTCAGTTAGTTAGATTCTGGCAAATTGCTAATTTCTGAAGAGTAAAGAAAAACAAAATTGGGAGAGGATCATGTGCAACGTAATATTATGAAAATATTTTATTCAAATCAAGTCATTGCCTTTTTGACCCAAAAAAAATGAAGTCATTGCCTAGTGCTGATTACTTACTCTTCAAAATATAATGCTAACAAGATTATATTGGTAAATGAAATTCCCTAATCCAAAAGTATTTGTGTGTGTAAATGTGATACCCTGATGGCATGCATTCATGTCACCAGTTCCAAGTTTTGATATTCAAACCTTCCTTGTTTTGGATAGAGGGCAATTATCCGCTCAAGCTTGACACTTTAAAATTAAAAAAAAAAAAAACTAAGGAATCATGTTTTATTCTCAGGTGTCGGAATGGATGAGCAATGAAATGAATAACCAATTACGCACTGCAGATATTGCTATACAGCTTGATTTGAAATCAAAAGTCCAGGGGCTAGATGAAGCAGAGAAATATTTTTCCAGCATTCCAGAAACTTCAAAAGTCTCCAAGGTCTACTGTGCTCTTCTGAACTGCTATGCAGAACATGGATATGTAGAGAAAGCAGAGGCCATCATGCAGAAAATCAAACAGTGCAGTTCCATTAGCGCACTGACTTATAATGTCATGTTAAGCCTTTATTGTCGGTTGGGTAAATATGAGGAATTGGATGCTTTGATGCAAGAAATGAAAGAGAAACGTCTCTGCGACAGATATACTTACAGTATTAGGTTGAATGCACTTGCAAAAACCTTAGACGTTGAGGAGATGGAGAAGTTTCTGTTGCAAATGGAAGCTGAAGGAGCAGCAATGGACTGGCATACCTATGCTCTTTCGGCAAACGCTTATATAAAAGCTGGACTCTCTGAGAAGGCCTTACAAATGCTGAAGAGATCGGAGCGTCTCATCACTGAAAGCTCAAGGACAAGGAGGATTGCTTATGAAACTCTTCTTAATATGTATGCTGCCATCGATAACAAACAAGAGGTGTATCGTGTTTGGAGTATGTGTAAAAACTTGGGACAATCACGTAACTCAGTTTATGTCTCTATGATTGGCTCATTATTGAAGCTGGATGACATTGATGGTGCTCAGAGGATTCTGGATGAATGGGAATCTGATAACACTTGTTCTGATATGAGGATTCCTAATATGCTTATCAGTGCTTATTGTAAGAAGGGTCTTTTGGATAAGGCTGAAGCATTTATAAGTAGGTATTTGAAGCTTGGGATGAACCCAGATGGAACAACATGGGCTTATTTTGCAAATGGATACAAGGAACAGAATGATATGGAAAAAAGTGTGGAAATGGTGAAGAAATCAATAATGGCAGATCGACCAGTATCGAGGCTTAACCCTTCTACTTTATCTGCCTGCATTAAGCACTTGAAAGAGAAGGGCGATTCAGAATATGCTGGTGACCTTATAAATTTATGTAGACAAAAAGGCATTATCTCCGTAGGTACCTATGATAGATTATTTGATTATGTTCAAAATGAAAACCCTGATGCTATCATGGAACAACTTTTTCTGTTAGATAGAAAATATCAACTTCCAGACGGAGGGAAAGACGACAACTACTGAATTTTACATTCAAAAGATGCAGAGAAATTCTTGAGCACGAAGCTTCTATTGTCGGTTGGAGTATGATATGTTAGAAGTAGCTGATACATTTAGTTTTTTTTGATAGAATATTCTCATCAGTTGTTCCCTTGCTTGCAATTTGCAAATTGAGGGTTCTAATGAAGTATGCCTTTGTCCACTGTGACCAATTGGAAGTATGAATAAAACTGAAGATTGAAACGTTCCTCCTAGTTATGGCCATTGCTCTTACTTGTGAAGGCTTCAGATAAACATGGATTCTGTTATTATGTAGTTCAACTCTTGTAGACCAGGATGGGCCATTATGAGAGAAAACCAGGGATCAACCTAATAAATAGTGGTGACTGATACTTTCTGAGGTTAATATTTTTATATTTTAATAGATCCGTTAATTATAATATCTATTCTCTATCATACAAATATAGATTAAGAAAACATAACTAATTATAATTAGACTTATTTTTATCAATACTAGAATGAGTCTCTTAATAAGACATTTCAAAAGTGATTTTATTGGAAAGAATTATCTAATTATGAGATAACATAATACTCTTTTCGTTTAAAAATGTAAAATATTTTTTAAAGAGTTGGATGTTTAAAAATGTAAGGCATTTTTAGTCTTTTGGAGTTTAATCATTGTTTTTTTTTTAAGTATCCTTATTGATAATGACTTTATATTTATTGTAAAGTGTTTAATAAAGGTAAATATAAAAAATAAATTTAGTTTAAAAGTAGATAACTACTTTATTGAGAGGTAAGATTCGATTAAGAATGTTTTAAATTTTTGAATGGAGGGAATAATAGTTAATTTTAATATTACTTTTTTATATGCATTGAAATTCAGCATTACTCTTTTTTTTTTTTTTTTTTTGGAAACAACCGGCAAGCATCAGGTTGAAGGTGTAAATGTTCCTTGACAGCACGACGGAGCGTCCTCTATCAGCTTGAAGACTTGTTCCATACTCTAGCGAGTGCCCACAGTTTAAATTCAACATTACTTTGTGGTTGTGTGGATGAGAATGAATTCAAATATTATGAGTTTAAAAGTTCAATAAAAGCCAGGGTAAAAAATTCAATAAAAATAAATTTATTGATTTTAAAACCAAATTTTTATTACAATATCTTTTAATTTCAAGGTATAGTAACTTCCTTGTGAACAGATTTTTATTTTTCAGAACTTGATGCTTAAAGTAAATTTCAATCATAGAAATTTTTCTCAATTTTAAAATAAAACATAAAATACATATTTTTTAAATCATTAATTTTAAAAGTAATGATAAAAATTTAAAAAGATCCAAATAATCTAAAATATAATCTTTTGCCGCCTTCCAAATTTACATCAAATGTGAAGATAGTGAATAAACGTAATTGAATCAAAGGTTTTCCTAAATATTTTAGTTATCAATCCAGCATTACGGCTAAACTTTTAGCTATTTTAGAAGGACTTCAACTTCGTTGAAACACGCGAGTTTCTAATATCAACATGCATTTATTTTTTTGGTAAAGATATCAACATACATTTTGACTTTATGGAAGCCCTCTCACTCATTCAACATAATCTTTCTGACAATCATTCCCTCTCTGAAACTATCAACAAAATTAAAGAATTTGTCATAAGAGATTGGACCATTATTTTCGACCACACATTTAGGGAAGCGACTAAATGCGCTAACTTTTTTGCTCACCAGACCTCTCAAGATAATTTAAACCTCATCATTTTTAATTATCTACTGTTGCAATGCAGATCTCACTTGAAATCTGATATGATCTATTTATACTCTTCTCTCACATGAGTTTTCTGTAGCTTTGTATTAAAAAAAAACAGTGAATAAAAAGCCATGAAGCATTATCTATCAATCATCCTATCTTCTTGGACTAGCAACGCCCATGTGGTATCTCATCCTCACTAGCAGGTTCCCCATCATCATCAACTCCAATCAACAACCTAATTTTGTCCAAACATATGTTCCCGGTAATATTCTTAACTTTCTATCTGACTCACCTGATAGCTGCTTTCTGTTTTTCCAATCCCATCATCTTCTCCAAAGGAAAATGAAGATCTTTATGTAACTTAGAATTCGGGCCAAAACACACTTCAAGAGATAGGTCACGAAAGTCCACCACCAAAGAAAATCAGGCAAAGCAGCCAATAGCAGAATCTATGCATCTGTTTTTGGTCTTCTCACGCGTTGCCCCCACACCATTATAAGTCATTTTCTTTCTTTGTCATGCAAGTTGGGTAAGAAGAACTTCAATCTTTTTTCTTTTTCTCCATTTTTGTATAGCTTAAAGAAGTTGAAATATAAATATTCAAATCCTATACAAGGATATACAAATAGTTCTCTTTTTTATCTTAAAACATAGAATTTCCAACATATATATAATTTATTTCAGCATTGATATGCAACTCTAAAATATGATCATAAGACTGGATTCGAATGATGCATGTAAATATGTATTCTTTACAAGAACGTATGCATTACACAAGGAGAAAGTAAAATGGCCGTCAGAATAAAAGAAGACACAAAACTAAAGAACAAAGCAAGAAAAGGCAGATTCTATTCAGTCGCCTATCAGCTTGCATCAAATGTCTTCTGATCGTTGGATTACTGTTCCCTGCCAGATTATATGCATTAGGGTAAGCGTATACGTCTGTCACCTGGTTCCCAAACACTCTCGCATATATCATCTCGCCGAACACCCCAATCCATGAATCAAATGCGTTTCTGAGCGCACCATCCATGCCAAGCATTCCTGAGGTGGAACTGCTTGGGATCGAGTTGAACTGTTGAGGATGATAATAAGGATAACGGCCATGATAAAATTGGGAAGAGGGTTGGGGAACTGCACTAGTAGTAGCACTAAATGATCTTCGAGGATCAACCATGGACAAAGGTCCATGTGGTCTTTGTGGAATCATATTCCCCACATGGTGGGACTTACCTTTGGAAGGTTTTGTGGTTTGGCCTCGGCCATAGAGTGGAACGAGTGAGGATTGGGAAACTTCTGTTTTGCATACTGGACACTGGGGACTCTGTTCTTCGTCGTTTTCTTCAGAGGAGATACTGTTAAAATGGAGCCATTTGTAAATGCAGGGCCAGCAGTAGAGATGACCACAAAGAGTGACCACTGGATCTTGCACAGAGTCCAAGCAGATATTGCAATCAAAGCCATTAGAGTCATTTCTCTCAGAACCTGCAGTGGAATCTGTCCCAGATTCCCACTTTTCCGGGTAAGAGTTATCTTCACCAAAGGAATCGGTTTGGGACACAGCCTCCTCAAAATACTGATCAAGGGCAGCCATATTTGGGTTTACAATGTGATCTTTTGGGTGCTAATCTGAAAAGCACAAGTATATATACAATGTAAGAATCATGGGTGTCCCTGATGACAGAATAACTATACATTCACAAGTACAATGTCGGATAAAATGTTCAAAAATTCATCTACAAAATCAGAACCAAGGTATAGCAGTTAGTTTATTTCTAGCTGAGAAAGATCGCTTCATATAGAAACTTAAGCTGGTGAATACACCGTTCACAAAGCACATTTATGGACAAAGTTCAATCATCCAACGTTTGCTCATTTTCAACCATTATAGAATTGGACATTCATAATTGACCATTTTGAGTAAAACTTTCTATAAAATTGGTGTTCAATATAAAATACTAAACCTTGTGCGATGAAACCTAAATGTTTGAATTGCGATATTACAACACTGCTGACGTTCACAGAAAATGAAGAGTTTCAACGTTCCTTGACAAGTGAAGAGTTGGCAAACATGATCTAACAATAATGGTGCTAAATTGTTTTGACACAAGCAGTATGAGCTTCAAATTTCTCATCAAATTGCCAGTCAATTCAAATCTCAAGGTTGCCTAACTAAATTTATGCTGTTTCTGGTAATAAATAACTGCAGTGTATGCAGGATTTCATTTAATAGAGCCTGCTATCTGTTTCGGTCCAGATATATTACAGATATTAAATATGTTAGTTGCCTAGTCAAGGTTTACATTTACTTGATTTCCAGAACAAGGGAGGGAGGACCCACCTAAAACATACTGCCCAACAAAACTACCAAAACAGTTTCAAGGATGAAGCTATAATGAGAAAATCCACCTAATAAAGTTAAGTTTACAAAACCTAGAAGTCAGTATATTATGTAAGAAACAATTATGAGTGGAAGAGAAGAAGTTTTCCAAACAAAGACGAGCTAGACAATGATATACCAACTCTCTCTAAGAAAAGCAACTGGTTATGTCAAAAGAAACCAAAAGCCACAATCTCAGCAATGTCAAGCTTCATCATCTCCATGCATAAGCGAGAGAATATAGCATCCACTGAACTAATTTTCATAAAAGGTTCATAAATTTCAATCGGGATCATTATGTTCCTAGATATCTGCAAGGAGTGTACATGACTCAATCTTTAATCAATCATCGTGACTTATTTTTTAAGATAGAGTGTAATCCCATAATTAGATCCACAGTTTTTTCGGAATTTAAGCTCACAATAAGCTAAAGGAACACTGGTTATTTTCTGTTGAATCTAAACTCTCCAGGGAGAACTTGAAAATTAACCCCAACAAAACTTCCAACCTTTTTTTGACAAATAAAAAAGGCTGTTTTTTCTATCTATCTATCTGCCGGGTTAACTACATTAACAGTCTTCATTAGTTATCAATGTCCGGTTATTCATCACTTGCACAATCTTTTTTAATATCGCCAAATGAAAAGTTTTGCTAAGAAACGAATCTGAGTTGAGAAAAATGAATATAATAGAGATACTCAGAATTGCCTAACTAAATTACCTCAAAAAATAATCTTCTGAATATCATTTTTACAGAAAAGAGAAGGAGGGGGAACCCAGAAACCTCCATGTCGGAGGAGAAGGGCCGGGCCGGTTCGAGATTTCCACAACCAGAATCAAATTAACGGAGGGATTTTAAAACTTCAAGAACGGAGAAGTGTTTGACTACACCCCGGAAAGGAAAGAAGCCAAAAAGAAAACATCAATCCTAGGAAACCTCAAATAGCAAAAAACAAAACTTTTTGTCCAGAAAAATTTTCCTATTAAACCACGACCAAACTTATCAGCTTGGCAAGCTATAGACTTTAATGGGAAAAAAGAGAAAACTGGATCAGAATGCAGTGGGTTGTTTCCTTCCATTAAAGGCCAAGCTTTCTACGAAAATAACGAAAGAAGAACAATTCCTTGATTGAAAATTCCGACACGCAGATGAACCCAGAAGGGCGAGCTGAAAGGGTAAGCATAAAAGAAAAGTAATAGAAGAAAAGTTACCATCAAATTACACTTCTTACTATGTATCTCAATGACAGGGCCAGATAAAGGATTCTGAATACTTACAGATTGATGGGGAAGGAGTCTAGTCGAAGGCTGAAAGCTCTGAAATCAAAAGAAAGGCAGAAGCTTCGACGACTGAAACCGCAGGAATGAGAGAAAAGAGAAGATGATGAGTGAAGAAGGGAAGCGGATCAATAAAATAAGAATTAAAGGAGACGGCCAAAATTGGCTACCTGCCCAACTACACCCTCTTTATTTTCAATAATAATAATACTTTTATTTTATTATCTAAACATGGCTTATATTATTATCATGTTTGGATCTTTTAGTGGAGATGGAATGCGTGGTTATGGGCGGGATAGGATGCTGGGAAGCTAACTCAGACGGATTGAGAAAGAAACGGACATGAGGCCATATGGGTAATGGGAGTCTACTTGATTCTGACGGTATGTATCAGGTGGGTTTAATTTTAGTACATTTTTCATGAAATGATTTCAGAAAATCTGATCAGCTAAAGGCAATCGTATTGAATTATAACTTGGCCAAACAACAATAATTATGTCGACTTATTGATTTATATGAAATACCTCAACTCCATTTTTTCTACCCAGATAGAGTACTTTACTTTTTGTTTGAATGATTCTTTCCTAAGGGATAAACTTAGGATATATATTTGTTTGCATGTTCTTTTAATATTTTCATATTGAAAATAATTATATTCAAAACATGGTTGAATATTAGATGTAAGCATTACTCCTAGCAAAAATTCAAATCTTAATTCATTATATTATTTGCATATGTTTTATTGTACATGTAAATTGCAAATATAGAATGAGAAATTAAAAGCTCAAGATGCTTTTCAGTCCATCAAAAATTAAAATCCAAATATTTTTACTATTTGGAATTGGGGTTTTGGATGGAAACAATGAGATGTAAAAAAAAAAAAAATTATGTTTATTGGGTGTGATCATACCAATACAAATGTACAGGATTCCATCAAAACTCCACAATTAAGCATGCTTGGGCGAAAATAATATTAGAATGAGTGCCTCCTGAAAAATCCTTATGTTGCACCCCTTAAAAAATTATGTTTATTTTATTTTTCACTAAAAACTTGTTGAGATCACATCCTCTTCATAGATAAAAATATTGGTATAATAGTAATAATAGTAAAATTGAAAAAACTGTCTGGCCCAAAAAAAAATTAGTAATAATAAAATAATATAACTTTTAGTACTTAAACTTCTTTTCACTTATATATTGATTTAGTGTATAAACTTTAACTAGGCAAAAATTAAATCAAGGATTTACGAGGTTGAGATAGACAAGTTAAAAAATTATACGGACTTAAAAAAATGGATCGAATTGTTATGAATTAAAGTTTAAGAACAAGATTAATAATTAAGAAAAAAATTTAAAGGACAAAATAGTTAGCCCAAAAAACACAGATTGATTCGTAAGCCATTTTCTTCCACAAATGACTCATTATTTTTAAGTATTATATTGTGTTTTAAAGTATCAATCATAACCAAATCCTCCTTCAACTAAGACATTTTTTATTGAGGCTGGTTTTCCAAATGTATGTATTATAAAATAATGATTTAATAAAAATCTATGAATAATAATTTAATAAATTGGAAATTGGAATTCAAACCCTTTATGGCGAAGTTCAAAATAAAAAAGAAATGGAGCAAGTCAACTGTAACTTACTATGAATTATTAATTGAAGTTGTCTTGTTTTGGCCCAAAAAAAAAAAATTGAAGCTTGATTCCTAAGTTCCTTTCATGAAATGAGCAAAACGTGGCTGCCACCATGAATGCCGCCAAATTGTAACTTATTGCTGAAGATATGAGACGTATTAGGTGTGAATAAATAGATACCCAAAATAAATAAATAAATAAATATATATATATATATATATATGACAACTTTAAAGGAAAAATAGCATTCAAAGATCACTATACAATATTTATATTACACAAGAATTAAATTTTTTCATACTCTCATTGCAATCCTTTAGTCATTGTGAAATATTAACTCCATAGGCAAAAATACTAAAATGCCCTTCATAGTTTGAAAAAAAGGAAACCCCTATCGTTGCCGGCTGTTGAACCACCACCAACAGCGAGGTCGCCGAAGCCCCTATTACTGGTGGTCTATCTCTAGAGCTCCTATGCCAACAACATTTTATTTCGAGAATTGAGGTTTTTTCAGATAGCTAAGGGTGAGTTTGATCTCATGATCCTTAGCCACTTAAAAAACTTGATGGCCACTAAGCCATCAAACCCTTTAATATATATATATATATATAGCAAAAAAATTATAAATAGTAAACCAAGCATAAAATCACTTTCATGTAATAACCTAATATGTGTTGTTAATTTTTAAATGAAAATTATTATTTTACGAATGTCACTTGTTAATATGATATGGACAATTACAAATTAGGAGCTTCAAAACTTTACTCATTTTACTTGTTAAACGTGTAATTATTGTTGTCAATCACGAATAAATTATTGTCAAAATCAAACGGATACTTGTCAGTAAATGACTAATACGTACAACTAAACCCTTCCTATCATTTTTTTCTAACTTGTTAAAATCATAATAGATTCTTGTTAATTTTAAATTAATTATTGTTATTTTTTAAATGTCACTTGTTAATTTGACATAAACAATTATAAATTGAGGGCTTCACAACTTCACTCATTTTACTTGTTAAACGTGCTAATGTATTGTTGTTAATAGCAAATAGGTTGTTGTCAAAACTAAACAGATACTTGTCAATGAATAAATAACACATACAACTAAACCCTCCCTATCATTTTTTCTAACTTGTTAAAATCATAATAGATTCATGTTAATTTTAAATAAATTATTATTATTTTATAAATATTACTTGTTAATCTAACATAGACAATTACAATTGAGGGCTTTAAAACTTGGGAGAATGACAATTAAAGACCTTCTAAGAACACTAATTCCAATTACAGAACGTGAAATTTTAAAATTTCAGTTAAGGACTATGGTCCTTAATTGTGATAAAAAAAATGTAGTTTGTAAGGTGGAATTCATTATTGCCACTTAAAAATTCACTAACTCAACTTAAAAAAATTTGTAACGTATATTGTGAAAACATGAAACCCCACTTAGAAATCAATTGTTTAACAAAAAGCACCATTTGAGAATTCACTAACTTGACTTAAAAAAATTTCTAACGTATATTGTGAAAATATAAAACTTTACTTAGGAATCAATTGTTTAATAAAAAATATCAATTTGGACAAGTCACTTTTTATTAATGATTCTCAAGTAGTGTTTCATTTTTTCACAATATACATTATAAATTTTTTCAAGTCTAATTAGTAAATTCTCGAGTGGCGCTTTTTTGTTAAACATTTCATTTTCAAGTGGGGTTTCATGTTTTTACAATATACGTTAGTAATTTTCTTAAGTTGGGTTAGTGAATTTTCAAATCGCATTAGTGAATCCTACTTCACAAATTACATTTTTTTATCACAATTAAAGACCATAGTCCTTAACTATGATTTTAAAATTTCACAATCTATAATTGGGATTAATGTTCTTAAGAGGTCCTTAATTGTCATTCTCCCTAAAAACTTCACTCATTTTACTTGTTAAACGTCTAATGTATTATTGTCAATTACGAATAGATTGTTGTCAAAATTAAACAGATACTTGTCAGTGAATGACTAACATGTACAACTAAATCCTTCTTATTATTTTTTTAACTTGTTAAAATCATAATAGATTCATGTTAATTTCAAATGAATTATTATTATTTTACAAATATTACTTGTTAATTTGACATGGACAATTATAATTTGAGGCTTTAAAACTTCACTCAAACACCCCCATGTATTATTGTAATCACAAATAGATTGATAGATACTTGTTAATAAATGAATAACACATACAACTAAATTTTTCCTATCATTTTTTCTAATTTGTTAAAACTATAATAGATTCTTGTTAATTTTAAATGAATTGTTATTATTTTACAAATGTCACTTGTTGATCTGACATAGGCAATTAAAAATTAGGGGCTTGAAAATTTCACTCATTTTTCACTCATTTTACTTGTTAAACGTTCCCATGTGTTATCGTCAATCATGAATATGTTGTCATCAAAATCAAATGGATACTTATTCATGAATGATTAACACATACTAATCCTTCCTTTCAATTTTTCTAACAAGTATCCATTTGATTTTAATAACAATCTATTCGTGATTGACAATAATACATTGGGACATTTAACAAGTAAAATGAGTAAAATTTTAAAGCCTTCAATTTATAATTATTCATGTCAGATTAACAAGTAACATTCAAAAATAACAAGTTCTATTTAGAAATTAACAACACACATTAGGTTATTACATGAAAGTGATTTTGTACTTAGTTTGCTACTTATAATTTTTTGTTGCCATATATATATTAAAGGGCTTGGCTATCAAACTTTTTTGGTAGCCAAGGGTCATGGGATCAAATACACCTTTAGCCACCTAAAAACCTTAGTTATTAACTAAAATATTGCCAGCTCCAATAAATGGCCGCCAACAACCATGACAGTAGGAGGGGCTCCGGCGATCTCGCCACTGATGGTGGTTCGAATGCCGGCGATAGTCTGACAGATGGCATCGACAACGGTGAGATTTAAAAAAAAAACTATGAGAGATATTTCAGTCTTTCACCTATAAAATTAATATGTCAGAAACACCAAAAGGTTGCAGTGCTATTATTAAATCATTCGGTCCTTATAGGATATAAATTTTATACAATAGTCCTTGGATGCTATTTTTCTAACTCTAAAAGTATTTGTTGTCCTTAAAATATAAAATATGTTAATAAAATAAGATTAACAAAAAAGAAAGAATCTAACCGTCATTGTGAGTAACGGCGTAGCCATGAAAGTTAAAACCCTTATTATTAATATTATTAATATATTACTATTTATTTGTCTTAATTTGATTGAGTAAAAAATATATTAAATATATAAAATTTAAGTTTCTGTAATAAAAAATACGGGTCAAGTTTGATGGGATTAAATTGCTTTTTTAAACTTATTTTTCATATTGGGGTTATGAAAATTGAGATATTATGGTACAGAACAATGTGTTTGAGCCCCAAAAAACCAAAAAAAAGGCTTTAGATTTGAACAACTTACTGTATATATTCATTTTAATCCCAAAAAAATTGAGCAATTTTATGTCTTTAGATTA